CTCGCCTTTATGCTCTCGAAGCCCTCAATCGTTAGGGTTTCCATAAGTTAGCCTCCTTTTATAGGAGAAGTTGGCTAACTTATGGATTACAAAGAAGCTAATGGGTTGATACACATTTATGGCCCATACTACACGTTTAACTAATAACTATACAAATACAAAGATATTTAACCAGATTGGACACCATTAAAATATTATCAACAATCTCCCCCTTGGTGTTCAATTGTGTTGAATCAGCATTGTAGCATGAATATCTTTGTCTTTCAGTGCAGCTCAGCTTCCTTTGTCGTTGAGCTTGACTTCTTGAGAAGGCTTTCTGAAGACATCCTTGCAATCTCCCCTTTGACGTCTTCTTGGCAATTTGACCTTTGATGCTGGGGGTTGAGGAGTCTTCCTTTGGCTTGCTTGTAAACCTTGCCTTCAAGAAATTGCTCTTGATCAGCTTGAATGAAGTCCAGTGGTGCCTCTAGAATGATAGTTCTGATGATTTCCAGGCTCACACAAGATTCATCTTCAGTACGCGAGTATCTGAGATTTGTCTCCTCCACAATGTAGTCTTTTTGACTATTTGAAATGAATGCGTTTGAGGAGACCTTGTCGGTGGCACAACGGAAAATGATGGTTGACTTGTGAGCGTAGCTGACCATTTGGAGCTTTTGATAGAGATAGTAGAGAAAGTGTTGGAAGAGAGAAGTGTCCGCGAATGATTTTTGAGAGTTAAACAGCATGTGGAACACACTCCCCCTCATGACGGTCCGATGAATCGGGGCATCATGTCTTTATTCTTTTGTTCGAACTGAAAAGAAACAGAAAAACAAACAGAAAAGTAAACACCGGAGACACCATGGTGTTCCGTTATCACAATCATCAATGTAAACACTGATGTGTGGCCTGTATAAAATGATAGAAGCATTACAGCTTTAACAGGACTTCCAACCAGTCATTGTGAAGCATCCAAATAGATGTCACTCTGGTTGTTATGGCAAAATCATAAAGATTAGCGTTAAGAACTTGTAGCCCCCTGAGGTCATGTAGACACTCGCGATCATCACTATAGAGATAAACTCTAAAGCAATGGTCTTAAAATATTGGTGATTCTTATGTTGCAACAACAGGACTTCCTTCCAATCATTGGTCTACATCTGTAATAGATGAGCCATATGGAAGTTCTCACGGGTCATGAAGACCTGCAACTGACTCTAAAAGCGCGTTTGTGTCTTAGAAATTTCAAAACATTTGGGAGTGATGTTACTAGACACGACGTGATTAATGAAAGTTCAGTGGCATGGGGCTGAGGCCACTGTAGTCAATATCACTTGCCTCAGAAGGAGACAGTAATGAGAGACGCGGTTCCCCGTGAAATATGATTAAACACCTGTCTGTTGGGAGACAAGTGAGTGGTCTTGGGTAGGGTTAAGCATGCACTGTTGGACAAGATGCAGTGACTTCTACCCGAGTTCTGATTAAATCAGTCCTGAACCTATGGGGATTGTCCAGAGTATTTGAGTGGCTAAAAGTAAATGTTCAATTGATAGCAGGAAGTTCAGGTAACAGACTTATCATTGATTATTGTTTCCTTGCTCACTTGAGCCTTCTGCTTCTTAATGCTCATAATGTTCACTCACTCACTCGCTCACTCACTCACTTACGCTCGGCTTTGTCCCTTGGGTAGGCTTAGTTGGGTTTACTAAGCCATGGGGACATGTTCTCTCATCACTTTCTTGATTTTCTCTCTGTACTCCCCCTCAAGTGGAGCACTCGGTATGCTTTGTCATTGTTAGGCACCAGGGAGGATAACATTGAACACTCCCCCTAAAAATGTTACATCCTTTGAGAGATTTTTTCCTTTGTCGGTGTAAGGTGCCAGGAGGAGAAAACTGAAACTCCCCCTTAGAATGTGCAAGGTGTGATTGCTCACAGCTTGTCATACCCGCCATGTGTGTGGAGCAATCTGAACAGGTACCACACATGACGGTTCCCCTGAGTTAGGGGAGGCTTTAGTAGTTGATTGTTGATTGTTGTAAGATGACCGTTGACGCGAGGTTGATTGAATTATCTACGATTTTCGGACCTCTACAGTGTAGTTTAGAAAATCTTTGACTTTGGCTTGACTTTGACAGAATTTGATCAGATTTGCCTGAGTTTTGACCTTGACATCGGTGATTTACAAAGTTTGTAGGAAAACAAACGTTTTGACCCCCAAGGACTGCGCGTGAGGGCGCGTGAAAAATGATTCTAGAGTAAAGCCCTAGAATTCATGTAGATATTTTCGTTAGCTTTCCGACAAAAAAAAAGTTCGCTTAAATCGGATCAGCGAGTCAAAAGATATGGCCAAAATAGTGCGGTGTCGCAGAAAATCTCGAAATTATGAGTTTTTGAGGAATTTTTTCGAAGTTGAGGTTCTCGATGTTGAATATCGAGAACAGGTGGGATTAAGGAAAATGCTAAGGCAATACCTCGAAATCCTAATCTCGAGTTAAAACCTCGAGATTGTAATCTCGGGTTTGCCTCGAAGAATAATGGCGAAATCCACCTGTAAAATAGACCCCGAGACTTCGAAATCTTCATAATTTCAAGTTGTTTGGAACATCGAAAACTTTGGAGTTTCGAAAACCTCTTAATATCGAAAACTTGTTGTTTGAAAAACGTCAGAACATCGAAAACTTCTAAAAACTTTGATAATCAGAGATTCATTCAGATATCCTATAATGTAAAGCTTCGATTAACTGCAAAGAATGTCAAGTTTCGAACAATTTTGAGTTTCAAGAAACTGCAAACTTTGAAATGTTCAAAACATCGAGAAATTCCAAAAATCTCGAAATCATTCAGAATGTCGAAATCCTAAACATCGAGTTCCCAAAACTCGAAATTCCAAAACTCGAAATTCCAAAACTCGAAATTTCAAAACTCGAAGTTTCAAAACTCGAAGTTTCAAAACTTGAAATTTCAAAACTCGAAATTTCAAAACTCGAAATTTCAAAACTCGAAATTTCAAAATGTCGAGTTTAGGAATTTGAGACCCTAAATGTCGAGTTCCTGCAAAATTAAAACTTCGAATTTTGAAAATCTGAAAACTGTTCTGAATAGCCCTGAAAGTCGAGATTCCTCCTGTATCTGTTTCAAGTCAAAATCATTTTTGCAGCCATGTAAAAGTATAAACTCGAGATTTCATGTAGAGTTCTTTGAAATTGAAAATTTGCAGAAATCGAAAACAAAGATATGCTGTAGAATCGTTTTGAAGAGGCGATTCCAACAGTATAAGTTTTACAAATTTTCGTTCACAAACAAGATTACAGGAGCAAAACTCTATATTGAAGAAAAAGAGAAGATAAGCAGAGCAGTTCTTCGTTAGATCCAAAAAATCGCAGATAGATTCAACATGTTTCACGCCTCAGCTCTGATACCAATTGATATTCCCAATATTTAACAATCAAACCATCTAAGCAGTGAAGAAGAAGCAGATAGAAAGATATGAGATGAAAAACGAATCTGGTATACCGTGTAAAACCCCGCTGCTCTCCCTCGAGAGAGAGAGAGCAGCGGAAACCTAATCTCTCTATCTCGCCTCTATGGCCTCGAAGCCCTCAATCGTTAGGGTTTCCATAAGTTAGCCTCCTTTTATAGAAGAAGTTGGCTAACTTATGGATTACAAAGAAGCTAATGGGCTGATACACATTTGTGGCCCATACTACACGTTTAACTAATAACTACACAAATACAAAGATATTTAACCAGATTGGACACCATTAAAATATTCTCAACAATAACACATTTCCAGTGTCTGTCCTACCTAAACTCAAGCCTGAGTCGAGCTTCATAAAATGGGTCCATACATAGTCTTTGTCTATAATATAAATTCACTAAAATTGAATGATTGCATATCACAAAAACACAATCTTTAAGTAAAGGTCTTACATAATAATAAAAAGACATTGAATGTATTAAAAACTAATTTAGTAAAACTCGTTGAACAATTTTAGATGCAAAAGTATTAATGAAATCCGCATAATCTATGTCATCAATAAATTCCTTCTCAATTGATAACATATCTAATTCATTTAACCTTTCTTGAGACATGGTAGACCGTAAAAATGTTTTTATGAGCTTCAGCTTTGAGAAACTTCTTTCTGCACTTGCTACTGTCACATGTATCGTCAACAAGATCTTATAAGCAAAGTATGCATTAGGAAAACATCCATCGATCCTTTTCAAATAATTCTCATTTGAAGCGACATCCTTTTCACCTATTACATTTTGTGAAGATGTACTCTTTGAACTGGCTCTTTTATTTGAGATCAAATACTTATTCATGTTTCCGGCCTGACTTTGAGTTAATGATTCAACACGTGATTTCCTTTTCCTCTTTTGACATCCAGACATATGTTTTGGAGGTATAGTGCTACATACTTATTCATGTTTCCGGCCTGACTTTGAGTTAATGATTCAACACGTGATTTCCTTTTCCTCTTTTGACATCGAGACATGTTTTTTTTGGAGGTATAGTGCTAACAAAATAAATACATACATAATTTAGCAGAATTCTCACAAATGTATACTAGTAATTTTCTCTTCAAATCACAAAGCATATAATTTGATTAATTGAGAATTGAGAATTCCATAATTTCAATATTGATAACCTAAATATAAAAAACAAAAATCAACTAGCATTTAAAAATTCATAAATTACCTCATTAGGCATGACAAATCAATTATACATCACATTAACATTTAGCAAGTCTATACAAAGTTAGGAAATTCTGAAAATCCAAAAAAAAAATAACTAAACTAAATTACTAAAAATAAAAGAGTAAGGAAAGCTAAATTAAAGGAGTGGAAGCCATTTAGCCATGAAATAAAGTTATAAAGGTTAATACTCCATTACTTCGCGGGTTTTTTTATCATCAAATCCAACTAATATATTAACTCAAAATAACGTTCATCACATGACTGATAATACAATCAAAGAAAAAGAAGTAAACAAAACGATAAAAAGCTTATGTCTGCGATCCGCCCTCGAACCAGACCTAGAATATATCACCTCTGTAGAAACAATAATATTCGTTGATCCTGTAATGGGCTTAATTGAGCCAATGACTAGCAAAACAGATTTCTCATCACCTGACTTAAAATCTAGAAACTCTCTGCTAGGAAATAAGAAAATGTTCAAAACAACATGCAATTCTAAATAAAAACACGAACAGAATAAAACTAAATTAAACCAGCGTTCACACATCTTCTTCCAAACGCTAAACTTGCTTGCACTCCATGGCGGCGACTCAAGAGGGGAACGCGCCCGCCGCTCATCCGCCTCTATAGTCATGCTTTTGGATTGAATGACGATATCCTCTTTTGTCATCACTTGCTGTTGAATCGAACCCATACTCCGCAACAACTTATCCACCTTTTCTTTGTCAACACTCGACCTTCGACCAGAAACGCCAGCAGAAGTTGAGCCCGGCCACCATAGCGCTGCATCCCTAGTCCCGAGCCTGCTTGAACGATCGAAAACAATCATCAACCGCTCTTCGTCGATGAAAAAAGTGGAAGAAACAAAACTCTAACTCGTAGGGAGATGACAGCTAGAGAGAAGACTCTCCAATTCTAACAATTGGCTGGAAAACCCCGCTCCCGCTCCTCAGCAAAGGCCGATAGTGGACGAATCCAAGCTAGCGGTTACCTTACAGCAATCCTAGAGAGAAGGACTAGCGGTTACCTTGCGGCAACCCTAGAGAGAAGGCCGATTGGAGCCGCACTATTCGCTTTATATCTTTAGATCGTGTGTTTATCACTAATTGGAGGTCAACGTTTTTAAAAATAAAAATACAAAATCAAAAATTCCATTACTCCGTAGGTTATAAAGCTGAAGTGCTAAAGGAATACAAAATAAAATAATACTCCCTCCGTCTCGAAATAATCGTCATCTTTTGACCTTCACACAGATTAAGAAAACAAAATTGACTTCACACTATAGCGGCACTGTTTGGCACTGTAGCGACACTGCTTGGCACTGTAGCGACACTGTTTGACACTGTTTTACACTGTTTAACATTGTTTTGTATAGATTTGTTTACCAAATAAGGAAAAGAGACAATTATTTCGGGACGGACCGAAAAGGAAAGCAGGAAAATTATTTCGGGACGGAGGGAAACTACGTAATAAAAACTGCTTAGTTGTTTGCGGGCTGCCGGCTGCGTCCTGCAGTCCTCCTGCTGTAACACCGACCCCGGGCATATTTACTTTTAGTGAATTATGTAATAAACCTTGAAAGATGATTTACGAATTTGCGTAATTGTAAATTTTATTATTTCTTTTACGTGAATAGTAAATTGCATGTGGGGCCCACAGTGGGAACGGGGACCGCCCGATAATTCCCGAACCACGTATTATATTCATCTTGGTCTAGATGACATCTATATGGTGGTGGATATTTTATTTGGGCCATAAGAAAGGCATGGAGTTGACCGGTTGGTCAAACGGGGCCCAATTACCGGTATTGGCAATTTAACGGATAACAGCCCGAAATGAGTTTCGGAGACTCCTAAATTAATGTTGGGGAATGTACATCTATTCTAAAGGCCCATAATTATTGGGAACGCGTGATATATTTTATTTGGTCCGATAAAATAAAATATGACTAAAATAGTCCGAAAAATACAACTTTCGGGGCCGATTATACACATCGGGGCAGAATGGGATGACCTCCCACATAAGTGGGGGCCACCCTACGATTTTATGCTTTACAAAGGACCAAAGAAGCAGCTAGGGGCGTGCATATTAGGTGGGAAGTCTCAATTGAGATAAAACCCATACCCCCAAGTCATATCTTCCACAATTATATTGTGATTGATTGAGGAGTATCCCCTACCACACTTGTACCATCCCACAACTCAACTACAGAGAGATAAGCTCTGGGAAAGATCTCCACAAAGCTCCAGCTCAAGGAAAGCAAGGAGGGAGGAGAATCCAAGAGGGGAGAGCTAGGAGTTGGGTAAGAACTCATTGAGCATTTCTTTTAACTAGTTTATGTTGTATGATTTTTAAGAAATCATATGGTGGATTAAACCACGAGTTCTACATGTTTAAAAGTGTAGAATATTGATATAAAGTGGTGGTAATTAACTTAGAAGGGTTGGCAAATCGATAGGAGTCGAAATCACCGGAAACCGCCACTTCAAGGGAGCTAGTCGTAGTTGCAGACCACGAAAGCCGCCCGGCTTTCGTGAAAGCCGCCCGGCTTTTGCCCAGAAATCCAGTTTTCCACTTTCAATCGGCCTAGAACGGGGATTGATCGAGGAGCTTAGCAAAGGCAACTATTTCAGCACTTCATAAGGTGAGGATGACTAACTATATTGCTTATAATTAGTGAGTTAATTTCATAAGATTGCCTAAAGTAATTAGATGGGATTTTCATGGATTATTAACGATTAATAATGCCTAAATGGAAATGATATTGATATGAGTAAGTGAAGCATGATATACAAATTTAGAATAATTGTGTATGATTATGTGAAATAAATAGAACGGCATATTAATGGAATTACTATGATGACATTGTGATAAAATATACTTTACCCCATGTATGAAATTCATGAACGGAGTAAAGTGATATTTTTGATATTGAGATCAAACTATACTTGTGTTGGGAAATCAATTGAAATGAAAAGTCAATTGGAAAATAGGAACTTGGCATGTTCTAAGATTATCCAATTAGTATCAAAATACTAGTCGGGGAATTAATATAAATAAATGATGAAACAAATCCTAAGAGGTAGGATTGTGAATAGATATGCCTTAAGTAGTCTCAAGAGATACTTTAAGGTTGAATTGTGTGAACACTAAGGTGATAGGGGTAGGCCTAAAGGCTACCTACGGAAATTGATTCTAGGCATAGAAATTGCTTGAGAATGTGATTATGAAAATAATTAGAGTTGGACTCTAGGATGACATGGAAATGTAGTTGGGCCGAGCCCATTCCATGTAATATGATTAGCATGGAAACGTAGTTGGGCCGAGCCCTTGCCATGTATATGTGACCTCCGTGGAAACGTAGTTGGGCCGAGCCCTTGCCACGAAGTTATGGTTGGTATGGAAACGTAGTTGGGCCGAGCCCTTGCCATACAAATTTTGATATGATATATTGAGTTAGAGGATTGTATAGAAATGTAGTTGGGCCGAGCCCATGCTATACAATCGGGGCTCGATGGGACCCCACGGGGTTATCGTGACTTGCGGTCACGGGGGAATGGAAACGATGAATTCTAAATGAATATGGGCCTACGGGCCGACTACTTGACTTTATATAAAGTAAGTACAGATAAAAGAAAAAGGGGTAACCGAGGGTTATGGCCTATAATATAATAGTACCCTAGGTTGAGGGTCTTGGGAATTAAAACGTTGATTATACTTAGTATAGTTGCTATTGTACTTGTCAAATATTTCCAAGTACTGACCTCCCTTTCACGGGGGAGGCCACCTCACAGTTTCAGGTAGGACTTGAAGGTTGCTACCATCGCCCGTGCCTTCGGGAGGATCAAGGGGAGAAGACGTGGTTCGTGCTTCTTCCGTTCTGTTTTAAAAACAATTACGTTAATGCTCATGGATATTATTTTTGAATAATTACTTTGGGGGCTTGTATGCCGAGTTATGCCAAGTGTGCTTGAACAAATGTATTTATGCTTCCGCTGTTTTAAATGAATGATTTACATTATGTTTGTTTATGGATGTACTATGTGTGAATGATATTCATGACGCCTTGTATTATATGGATTAGTCGGACTGCGGATGACTATTCGTACTGTACGGCGGGTTGTTGACGTGTTCGGCTAGGCCCGGGGCGTGACACCTGCTGTGGCCTTTGAGCAGAGCGTGAGAGAAGCTGCGTTCGTCTCCTTCAGTCCTTCGCAAATAGCAAGCTAGAAGAAACGCATGTTACACAGGAGCTTCTAATTTTTATGGGCCGACCTTGAAAAATACATAGGTATTACCCGCGTCCCAGGGGACATTGTCAAGTGCAAACTAAGTAAAAAATATGAAAAGTAAAAACCGTGTGATTGAGATTTGCACAACGTTAGTTATCTGTGCACAGACATTCGTCCACCCTGCACAGACATTATATGTATGTGCACAGACATTAGAGGTAGGTTCCTATACAACTAATGTTTATCTATTTACCCCTAAAAGTGTTGTGTACACAGATAACTTAAAAGTGTTGTGTACACTAATGTCCGTGTACAGACAAGTAGTATGTAAAAAGTGCGTATGGTGTGTTTTCTAATTTTTTATAGGATTGTTTGTCTGTATATAGACAACTCGTCTTAACATGGAGGTCCTTTGGTAAGAGTACTTTGTACCGTAGCTCAAATTTTGCTTTTATACTCCGTATATATATAGATAGATTAGACTACGGCTATTATGTGGTTGGTGCTATGGTTGCTATACCCTGGTTTCTATGAGTAATTGGTGTCTCTATTCTCTTTCATTTTCTCATATGTATTCATCCACTTCAATGTACATATGATTGATGTGACTCTTTTGGACGAGAAAATCACTTGGTGTTCCACTTCCTTTTGTATAGAGTAGGAAGTAGGACATGATAAAGTAACTTGTCTATTGTCTGATATGCACTAATTAGTAGTGCATAAATGTATATTTTTATGTTTGATTTGTATGTATTGTTTACCATTTTTATTAGTTTGTAAACATTTGTTTTATTTGGTTTGTATTATATTTTAGTTCTCATTTGTAAGTTGTAAAGTAGAGTTATGATTTATGGTGTTGAAATTGAGGACTTTGAAGTGAAGAAAAAGGAGATTGGACTGTCCAGGAGCTGAAACCCGACCGGGTATAACACTTGACCCGATCGGGTAAGATTTAACAGACGAAGGTGGCTGGAAATTACACAGACCCGGTCGGGTCCCCTATTCCACCCGGCCGGGTCAGACTTGACCCGAAACACCAGAACGTGTCGAAGATCACCAAAATGTGGAAGATTATCTGATTTTGACCGGATCCGGTCGGGTAAGCACTTGACCCGGTCAGGTACCCGACCAAAGGTGTTGAAAAACACATATAAATAGTACAAATTTCCTTCACAAAGAATCATCCCTTCTTCCATACTCTTAAGCTCAATTTAGAATAACATTTCTTTATATTTTTCTAGCTATGTTTAGTCTCCAAATGAGGAGCTAAACTTTCATTCTTGGTGTTGCTCTTGAAGCTTGTTGATTATTAAAGTTGTGAGTTATTTTCTTAACTTCTTTCCTTGAATATTAATTTTTCATTTAAATACTACTCCCTACGTCCCAATTTGATTTGCAAAATTTCCTTTTTTGGTTGTCCCAAAATGATTTTCCACTTTCTATTTTAGGTATGTAAATAAGAATAAAATGACAAATTTACCCTTACTTTTACTTTTTACCCATTAACTTAAAGACATCAACTTTTAGAAAGATGTGAAAAAGTGTAAAGAGCAAGTATCATTTATTGTCATTTCTTAATCCGTGTGCCGATCAAAATTTGCAATTCAATTTGGGACAGAGAGGGTATTTCTATATCAAAGTTGGGGAGTGTTACTAAGATGACAATTAGTTAACATCTTGACATTAGTTATAGTAATAGTTATTTCTTGCTCTATGTTAATATTGGGGAGTGTTACTAAGATGACAATTAGTTAACATCTTGATATTAACTATAGTAGGATTCTTCTTCTTTAATATTCTTCCTTGAGTATTAATTAATTCATATTCATATTTCTTATTAATATTTTGAACATTACTTAAAGGATCAACTAGTTTTGTTTCATATATTAATTATTACTAGAATCGATCGACGAATACGCTTGTTAATCGTTGATGGTTTCACAAATAAGTAACTTCGGTTTATTAATGCACGGTTGTGGTTAATAAACTTAAGAGGAATTATTTTTATCTTTGAATTAAATCTCATATAAGTCGTTCATCTTAGTTTTTAATTAAATTAAATCATTCAAAACCAAAAGCCCCCTTTTATTTACTAAGTTCATAAAAAAAGTATTCATTTCCCTGCGGATACGAACTCTACTTCACCTATATTACGTATTAGTGTTAGTATTGAATTTATTTTGACGCACCGTGACAAATTGCATCAGGTCAAATTTACATTTGTACGAGAGTACGAGACATCAGAAAGAAAAACATGAAACTACATGACAAGATGTGCCGGAAGTAATACAGTGTAGCAGTAAAAATTAAGATCTGAATTCATGAACAAAATGAACGAGAATGGTCTTGTATTTTGTCAATTCATTTACCGTTTAAATAAATGCGTCCATATCACAATTTCGACATTAATCACGTTCTATGAAGGACATGATTGTAGCGATAAATTAAAAACTTTAAAACACTACAACCAAGCAAGTGTGATTAAACACCCTCCTTGAACCAAAGAGGCAGAGACGCAGGATCCTGATTCAGCCTAGATGTACAAGGTGAAACTTGAGAGGAAGGGGCGAGTAAGAATCCCAATGACCCTTCACAATTAGGCCTGAGGCAGAGGGGTGTACAGAGAAAGATAGACCCCTTCCAGATAGGCAATTGATATGGACTGCTATTGTGTGTGAATTGCCTTCTCAACGCCACATCACCCTGGAGGATGAGATGACTTTTTTAAACATTAACTTGGTCTAAAAGTTGGAATCTCCCACCCCAGGAGCTCCCACCCCGACCTGACAGGATGATGGAGAGGTTAATCACGGTGACTCAGTTAGCAAAGCGGCGGTATGCCTTATACACGTGCGCACCACAGGTTCAGCCTTATTTCAGGTTCTGTAACCTCCACACGGCCGCTGCGTGTTTCGAACTTGGTCACTTGGTCCAATTTTCCCACCACTCGACCAACTGAGTTACCCGTGCGGTTTTTTTTCAGACATTAACTAAAACAGAGACTGGATAACAATTTATTGGATAGAACATATAAACACTCACACAGTCACAACACATGCATTCATGCCTTAACTGTATACATTTCGAAGTGTATGATCCATATAAAGTAACCCCGAAAGCAAACAAAAAATTCCACGCAAAAAGTTGAGGGAAAATGTTTCTGATTCCTCAATTAGTGGTGCCATAGATGACCAGACATGAGTTCAGTTACGTTTTAATGGTATCCAAGAGGAGCTGGAGAATCCTTAAGTTGTTGTCCCTGGTAATGAATATCCTGCAATCATTTCCCCAATTCGGTCATATATTTTAAACATTATCCTTTTCTCATAAGCTAACATAGTACAACGGCTAGCCGAGAAGCAAAATAAGCATGAGTCACTCTATTACGAGTTAAATACCAACAAAATGAAATAATCACCGAGAGCCTATGTTTTTTTTGGACTGTAATTTGGTGATTTGATCTGATCAAGTTTGTTCAAATCTGGTCTGATCTGTTTAAGTCTATTCTGGTCTGACTTGATCTGGTCTGGTAGACATCTAGTATCTGTGTATTTTATAATACAAAAGCCAAGTCTAATCTGGTTGGCCTGGTTTGTTTAAATCTGATCTGGTGTGATCTATTTAAATGTTTAAATCTGGTCTGGCCTGAAATTGAAAAAGGTCTAAGTAATAACATCCTTAGACCTTAGTAACTAAGATTGGTTGGAAATTCTAAATGCATAGTTGAAATTGCAATTGCTCTCAAAAGAAATATCTTTAATCAAAATACGAAGTACGGAGTATGTTATTACTAAAAGTAAGGAAAAAGTTTATGAAACAATTAAAATTACAAACTAAAGCAAATTCACAAAAAATAAAGTTTCTTACTCCTTTCGATTATAATTCATATGCGACGTAAATTACTTAAGAGTTAAAAGACCTGGTTGAAAAGAAGAGTCACCAAAATTAAACTAAATACAGTGTAGTAAATATGGTTAGTAAATATGGTAAGTGAGATTTAAATAATTTAGTGTACTTGAATCTAGTGTGTGGCATAGATTCATTTGTAAAAGTCAAGTCAAACCTGATCCGTGTAACTTACTACTCCTAATCTAATATGCTCTCATCTACTTCGTTCAAATTTATCTATTCATATCTGGTCTTATATATGTTAATTAAATCCGATCAAGTTTGATGTGATATTGAAATCACTTCAAATGAAATCAGTCTTAATTTAATTGAAATAGATGACCCTCAAATTTGCTTGTTGGTAGCCAATTGAATTTAGATTGGTTGATTCCATAAAAATAGGGGTATTATGCAGCTTATGCTTATCTTTGGATAGAATAACCTCTCATTATAGATATATAATTTTACGCTAATATATACTCCGTGATAAACATAAAGGATGAATGTTATAAAGGATGAATGTTGTAACTGAATCTCGATAGAAAGAAGGTTAAAATGTGTCATCTTTACATTATTTCATACCATCCCTCATGTTTATATTTGGGGTTCTAGAGTATAACCCATTAACCCCGTGTTGAAATGAATGTTAAAGAAGGAAATTCAATTAATTCCATGCCATTTGAATCACACTCATTACAAAGAAAACAAATGAGTCATATATATTCCTTCCATTTTTTTACAGGTGACAACTCCTGTACCCACCTAAATATTGAGGTACCGTACATCTCATTCACTTGATTGGTCCAAATCATTATATCATTTTTAATTTAAATTTAAATAATTCAACTGCAACTGATTAATCCATGTGGACAAAAGTATGCTACGGTAGAATCTACCTCTTCTTTATATACGTAGTTCTAGGTACTTGTGTTTTCAAGTATGAATGCTCATTTTGTGTCCTCCTAGTTTTTAGCATGTAGTGATAAGAAACGGCAAAAAACATCGCTCAAGCCTGATTTATGATAATGTGGAGAAATAGTGGACTTCTTCAATGTTGACCATGAAAGGATTTTCCGGGACCGGATAAATTTTACTACGGTAAAATAGAAGGAGACTTACAGAAGCAAAGTGGTTGACATCGCGGTGATGGGCCTCGTCAGCCCGGACAACCATGACAACATCCCGGAGAGTTGAATTCGGCGGGAGGCGCCAGTAATCGACGGCGATGGCCGGAGCAGGCACGTTCTCGATATTACCCTTGTCAAGCTCCTTGAGAAACTCTGTATATGAATGAATGGCCTCTTCCTCCAAGTACCCGACGATGCGGTGAGCCAGCTTGGGGGACATGACGTAGGTCAGGAAGTAGACGTTGAAGAAGACGCCCTGGACGGCGAACACGAGAGCACGCTCGTACCACCGCGGCTGAGAAACCTCCATGAATGTCATCAGATGCATCCTCTCGTTCTCCGCTTCTTCCAGCAGTGCTTTGATCCAGCCCCCGCTGCGCTCGAATCGCCGGAGGGACTTGCAGTGAAGCAGAAGCCCTCCGACCATGCCGGGCACGGCAGCCACCGTCTCCAACATCATTGCACGACATCCATACCTCCTCTGTAAAATTTCAACCGTCTGCTTGTAAATTCATTCCTAAATTCCTAAATAAGTACGAGTAATTGTTACTACAATTGATAATTTTCCTTATGATCTGACCTGGAAGAAGATATCGGTGGGAAATCTGAGAGACTTGACTGTCCAGTATGCGAATTTGTCTAAGAATGTGATGGGGACATGATGCTTCTTCAGATCTATGTTCAAATCGGCCTTGTATGTCTCCCATGGCTTCATTCCGAAATCATCAATAATCAAATCAGACCTAGAGCAAAGGCAGAATCGCAAAACTTAAAAACAGAGGTCGCATTTGACTTACCCTGAAACAGCTCCACTTCCATTCTGTGCCATCCTCTTTGGAAATTTTAGACGGCGGAACTCCCCAATAACTAACAATTTCCCCACCACTAGGGCTGGTACTGGCGGCGGCGGTGCTCTGCTCGCTTTTCTTATCGCCTTGCTGCTTGTCGCCAAGCGCCACCGTGCCCATCCTTCTGGATCCCATGGCAGGGAACCTCATCCACGTCACCAGCGCTTCCTCAGAAGTCACACCCGGGTTCCCAGTGAAGAATGCGCCACCGGCCCCGGCACCCCTGGCGGCCGTAGTCGCCGGACGGAAAATCGCCGTGGAGAAATAGCGCGGGGCCGATCGGCCAAGCCTCTTCGCGCATTGGCTCATCATCATCTTCTTTTGCCAAAAGATCAGAGCAGAGAAATTAGGAATGCTGAATGAAAGGAATTGGAGGGGTTTTTTCTTGGGTTTGCTAAAAGTTTGGAAAGGCTAGCTTGGGGAACAAGAAAATAAATTTTTTATGGAAATGGGGGCTTAAAGAAGAAGTCGAATTTATACGGGTTCAGACTTGAGAGGCGGTTAGAAATTCAATTCCATGACGTCGTTTGGTCCAATTGTCTAATCGTGAAGGACCAAATGTGCGGCTCATAAAATGTGGGAGCGGGAATAATGAAACGTCAAAACTGCCGTCGCCGTGGAACCCAAGTAAGTTAAGGTCATGTATGTATGTTCGAAGAAGTTTCTCGAGTTCTTGCTTATAAAAAAAAACTGTTAGTTCAACGAATGATTTACACTAAAAAAATCAACTATAGGATGGAACATACTACCTCCGTTTCAAAATTAACTTCCCATTTCGGATTACGATGCTTGACCGACGATAAAACAACTCGATCCGTGTTCATACTCGGATTACTTTTAGTAAATAAAATTTACATATTGAGAAATTACATTAAAACCGCTACAAAGGCTGATAAAAAAATATAAATTCAATAAAAATTTGATATATAAAACATAAGATTAATAGTAATTTAAGTTGACCGTGAATAATGACTGTGAAATTCATTTTGGGACGAAGGGAGTAATATAATATTGGTATACATATCAATCATACAATAGAGAATCATATAAAAAGATTTATATTATTATTATAATTATTATAATAATAATAATTAGCTTAAATTAGCTTGGATCTATTACCTTAAATTAGCTTGTTTATATTATTATTATAATTATTGTATAACTTTCTTGGATAATATTACTTTAATTATAATTAGGTAGCTACCCTGTTTAATACTTCCTTCGTTCCGTAGAAAGATTTTCACGAGGTTTGCGATGTTTCACTGACCATAAAGTTAACTAATCTCTGTCTGTAATTAAATTTTTTTTAGTACATAAAATATAAATATTCAGAAATTGCATTAAAATTTTTATAAAGTCGCAAAAGAAAAACTCAAATTTGATAAAAGTTGGATATATAAAGTAAAATATTAAGAAATTTTTTACATTGATCAGAGAATAGTGGGCGAGAGAAGAGAGGTAATATTACCATTGTAAATCCTCCTACATATACCCTTGCATCCGTATCAATAATAGTTGTCTAGTTTTCCAAATTACGATTATCTCAATAATAATAGTCCATCTAGGTATAGAAGACGGTCCACGAGGCGACAATATGATGTTGGACCTGGAAGAGAAGCACCTCCTTGAGGCAAGATATTGGCATCTGGATCAATAGGAGTTGCAGCAGGCTTGTAAGTTAGGAGTCCGATATTGTTAAGAATTTCCAAAGCATATTTCCGTTGATTGAAAAAAATGCCGGCTTTGGATCGAGCAACTTCGATGCCCATAAAATATTTAAGAGAACCCAAATCTTTCAACTAAAAACATTGAGAGAGATATCATTTGATTAAGGGAATAATTATATATAGGATCATCACTCGTAATAATAATATCATCAATATACACAAGTAAAACAGTAAGATATGAACCACGACTATAAGTAAACATAGAGTAGTCGACTTTGGATTGCAAAAACTCGGTATGACAAATAACATTAGAAAAAGAACACGAGTCTCCCCCTTCTAGTTGTAGCCGAGGGGCAGATGCAGGTGCACAACCTCATGAAGGGTGCCATGAAGGAAAGCATTTGGAACATCAAATTGGCGAGTGGACCAATGCTTAGCAGCAGCGAGTCCAAGAATTGTCCTTACAATGATGAGTTTGGTGACAGGGTCAAAAACCTCAGTATAGTTGTAACCTTCAAAATTGGGAGTAACCCTTAGCAACGAGATGGGCTTTGTAATGTTCCGTCGTGTCGTTGGCCGGGTTTATATTTAATATAATATTATAAACTCAACGACAACCAATAGCTTTGTTATGTGAAGGAAGTGGGACCAAGTCCCAAGTTTTGTGTCTTCGAGGGCTCGGATTTCATCATCCATGGCTTGGCACCATAATGGGTCATGTTTAGCACTGAAGAAAGACGTGGTTTCATTGAGTTTAGTGATGTTATTGATATAGGTAAGGTGAGTAGGGGAATAAGAGGTGGTGTGGAGAGAGTCACAAAACGGATACAATGAGGTGGCGGTAGTCAAATTGTAAATGTCACGCCCCGGATCGCATCCGTGCCACATAGATAATCGCCGTACAATCCAATAAAGATAACAATCGTTCATCCCTATTAAATTATACAAGGCATCCGATAGATTCTATTGTCAAACCGATTAGTAAACACATACAATTAACATCAATATCTAATCAAACGAATGTGGAAATAGTATGTTTGATACTTAGCCAGAAGTGGCAAACACAGGCACGCAGGTCCCAAATGTTTTAATAGAAAACATTGTTTAAAATATCCATGAGCATAATTATAAATTCAAATCGAAATGGGAAGCACGAACCACGTCTTTTTTATTTGATGATCACCCTAGGCAAAGGTGCAGGTAGTAGGACTCTAGCCTTAACCTAAAAATAGTCAGGGCCCCAAAGGGGTCAGTACTTCACAGAAAGAAGTACTAGTGACAAGCAGGCTATATGAGGAATAACTAATGTTTCAGACACGAGACCCAAAAATATGGTGATACATATATATAGTTGTAACTCATCCACCCGATGATACATACTGTATATATACTTGTAAAATACTTAACCCATAGGTCATTTACCTTTAAAGAGTATTTTAGAGATAAAGTCCTTACCCGAATATTTCTCGTTCTTGGCCTGAATGTCTAGTTCACTAGCTATATTCTACATTTGTACTATACTACCGAGTGTTTTAGGATCATTTACCGTCCAAGGCACTCAACCCAACTTGGAGTATTTAGGACCATTTATCGTCCAAGGGTACTCAACCCCCAACCTGGAGTATTATGGATCATTTACAGCCCAAGGGTACTCAACCCCAACCTGGAGTATTCTGGATAATTTACCGCCCAAGAGTACTCAACCCCAACCTGGAGTATTCTGGATCATTTACCGTCCAAGGGTACTCAACCCCAACCTGGAGTATTTAGGATCATTTACCGTCCAAGGGTACTCAACCCCAACCTTATTTCTACCAATCCTAACATGGATATGGCTAACCTTTTATTCCATCAACTATGGACAATACCTAGACCCAGTGGCGGACCCATTAAGGGTCCCACGGGGACCCGGGACCCCATGGACCTCCAAAAAAATACCTATATATATTTGTATATATTTTATATAAAATTAAGTAATCATTGTATTTATAAAATTGAAACTAGTTTAGAACACAAATACCGAGTTAGAGCAGCGGTTGGAGGCCTTCTCCTGAGTGTTTACACTTGCGGAGGTTTGAGGATCGACTCCCTGGGTAGTCTACTTTTTTTGAAAATAAAATTTTGGAACAACCACCTATTGTTATCATGCACTTTTGTCCAACTTTTAATCTAATTTTCTCAACATATGCCCATTTTTTTTTCTAAGAAATATTACTTCAAAGCATCTAATTTTCTCAACCTATGCCCAATTTTTTCATAAGAAATACTACTGTAAAGCCAGTATGTATCTCCAAATTTCAGCTTATCTGTTTTATAAACTAATTTCGTTATGAAACACGTAATTTTTGAATTCACGCACTGAATTTGTAATAATTAAAATAAGCAAGTTAAAAGCATTTTTTCGGCCAGATGATTGAAGTTACCGTAGAACATCATCTTAACCACTTTTTCATATGACTTTTTTCATATCTTATAACATATAATTTAAATATCATTCTTTCCTAATATAGCAGATTCAGTTGCTTGAGCCAAACGGGCCCTAGTTGATAGTGGACATTTCTTTAAAATATTGGAATATCTTTAAAATTGTTGTATACGTTAACTATGAAACGTTACGCTATTTTAATATTTTACTTCTTCTTTTTATTAATTTTTTAATTTTACTTCTTCTTTTTATTAATTTTTTATTAATTAGAGTTACATTACAATAGGGACCCCGTGATTCTGAGTTTCTGGGTCCGCCACTGCCTAGCCCTATAGTCATGTAATAATCCTTAGTAACCAACGTGGACGGGTCCCACCTGAACGGCCCACGTAAACTTACTCAAAAACTGCATATTGGGTGTTTTACCCAATACCCGGTCGGGTATCCAACCATACCCGGTCGGGTATCCAACCATACTCAGTCGGGTATGGTGAGGCAGTAGCCCATGGGGCTGTTTTTAACTAATACCCGGTCGTGTATGTACCCATACCCGGTCGGGTATAGCCTTTGACTTGGCGGTCAACACCCGTTTGACCGCCCAAACGAAGTCCGATTAACGTGAAATTTTATACACATGTATTTCTTGACGCCCTTAATCCAAAAATACCATTTTGGATCCTTGGAACATCATACATAATAATTTATCACATTTTTAATCATCAAATATATATAACATGCTTTTCAACTATGTTTTATATATAATCATGGCATAACAAATACTAGATTATCTTTAATCATTCCATAAAACATATCCTTGATTACTTTAGGTAATATCGTGCATCACGCAAAAGTTATAAAGCATAAAATCGTCTTCTCACCTTAGTGAAGCCTTTAAGAAGTTATACCCTCCCGGTTGAACTCCGGTGAAACTCCGGCGAACTTTGTCTAGCTCCGGTGATTATTCCGGCGACGCTTTCAACTCCATGAAAGATCTAGGAATACCTTAGACAAGTTCCTAACAAGGTTTTATAATCACAAAACCCATATTAATACAAATAACCTCAAAAGGTTATTTTCCGGCGAACCAGTCACTTTGGCTTCTAAGTCCGCCCTTGGACTTAGAACTACCTTCTAACCCCTCATTCTACACTTCTAAATATGTAGAACAATTTCAGGGTTTCTCCATATGGTATATATGTCATATGATAGATAAAAAGTAGGAGAACAGTTATTATAAGGTTATTACCTTAATCCTTCTCACTTTTCCTAACTTTTTCCTTCTTCAATCCTCTTCCTTGGACCAACCTTGCTTGAGCTCGTTTTGCTGCAATGGAGGGTGAAATTAGAGCTTCTTTTCTCTCTCTTGGAAGTCCTTGGTCGAGTTAATGCGTAGGGAATGGGTAGAGGTACTCTTCTTGTCTCATTTGGGCAATTAGTGAGGTAATGAGGCCCACCCATGTATTGTTTAGATGCTTATCATCTCAAATCATTTCTCTCCCATCTCTTAGCAAATCATACGCCTCCTTGCTCTTATCTCAAGATATTTACGTGGGATGGCCCCCACCCATGTGGGAGGTCATCTCAATAAGTCCCGAATTTTATTTCTCGGACTGATTTAATTATATTTTATTTTATCGGACCAAATAAAATATATCTGTTGGGTTAAGGGCCCAACAAGGATTTGTCCGTAAGCCCCAAGGGCCATGCTACGAACGTCCCTGAAAACGTAAGTTGACGTACGTCCATAAGCCAACGGACGCCGTACCCAGGGCGTCTGGGTTAAGGCGACGTACGTCCCCAACAATACGAAGGCCTAGAGGACGATAGGCGACAGAGGATGCCCGTTGTTTATGGGACGAACGTCCCCATAGTCCAAGCCAACTGGGAAACCTTCCCCCCTGGGTCGTGGCGACGTACGTCCCCAACAGGACGCCAAGGCCCAATCATATTTTATGGTGACGTACGTCTCCAACAGGACTAGCCCACATCATCATGGCCCAAGGGACGTACGTCCCTAGGGCAGCTGGCTACTTTGGCCCAGAGGCAGCACGAGACGTCCGTCCGACGTGCAATTCACTATTCACGTACTAGTAACAAAAATTTACAACCTTTTAAATTCATTAACCATTTCATAAGATTTCATACATGATTTACATAGAAGTAAATATATTTGGGGGCGGTGTTATAGTACACATAGTCGTGAAGGTAAGCATGGCGTTTAATTTGGTAGCCCGTCTAGGATGGGATGCTCGAGGAGTAGGGTGAGAAATAGTTGTGGGGTTGTTGCTAGAAGGCAACGAGCTAGCATGGGTGGGAGTATCCTCAGAAGGTTGATTGTTGGGAGAAAGATTAGGAGATGGTGGCTAAGATTGCCTAAGAATGATGGTTTGCTCATTGGATCAAGCTGAGAGGTGGTAATGGAGCGAAATTAAGAAGGGAAGCTTGCTCAAAATCCGGTAGAGGCAAAGGAAGTACACAAGATGGAGGATAGTCACTTGATACCACTTTTGTTTAGAAGGGGAAAATGTTTTCATGAAAAACAACGTCACGACTAACAAAAACTTGATTATTAACGATGTTATATAGGGTAGTCCTGTTGACCACGAGGATAACGATGTTATAGTGTGGGGGTCAAATGTATTGGGACGGTATTAGATGGCGGAGCCACCGTGGAGGCATAACAAAGGCATCCAGGTGTGCGTAAGTGGGAATAAATTGGGCATTTATTATTAGGTAGCTACCATCAAATCATCAACTTGGTCATATCTTCACTAAATCTTACCTATTCAGCCTTTATCTCCATCACATCCAAGCTCATGTCACTCCCTTGAGCTTTTATTACCTTGTTTGTATTTTTATTATTGTATACTCTCCTTGGTCAATAGTACATACTCCATCCATTTCATAATCTTTGACACAGTTTGACTTGTCAAAAATTAAAGAAAAAATGTTACTGAGACGTAAATTTTACTGTAGAGTACACTGTTTGGCACTGTTTGAACACTGTTTGAACACCGTTTGACACTGTTTGAACACTGTTTGGTACTGTTTGAACACTGTTTGGCACTTTTTGACACTGTTTTGGTAAAGATTTGTTTACCAAATAAGGAAATAAGGAAGTGTGTCATTGATTGTGAAACAGCCAAAAAGGGAAAGTGTGTCAAAGATTGTGAAACGGAGGGAGTAGCTACCATGTTTATTATTAAGTAGTCTTCCAAAAACATTTGAAAAAAAGGATGACACCTCATCCCTGAGCCCCCAACACCGACCGGACAGTTAGATGAAAGAATATAAATTGGACTTTAATCACAAGCTGACATATAGAGAGTGAGGCTCTGGTCCTGTTATTTGCAAAGGCGCTATGCATTTTAGCATAGTAACCTTTCATCGCAATTGACGGAATTCGAACCCGAGACTTACCCATTGTGAGTTGTGACATTCCCTATCTACCGGTTGAGCTACGCCCACCAATTGAGCTACCCCCAATAAAAACATGCATTTGAAAAGGTTAACCAAGTGTCATTCTGATATCTAAGTTGACTAAGTATGTTTTTACTTAAGCAGACCAGACCAGACCAGATCAAACTTGACTTCTGTAGTCATAAAATACACAGAGACCAGACGTTTACCAGATTAGACCAGACAAGTTCAGACCAGACCAGACTTAAACAAACCAGAGTAGAACAGACTTAAACAGACTAGACCAGATCACCAAATTACAATCCTAAAACATCCGTCGGTGAATGGGATTTCACTTGAAAAATTGAAAATAAAGAATCGATCAATACTACGAGTAATAAATTGAATAAACCCGAAATTCATCCTACTCTAGACATTGCAGTTCATAGTTTATGACTTTGGATTTGAAAATCTACAAAAGTAATAAAAATCGTCGGAAGCATGCTAAACCAATTAAAAGTTGAAACTAAAATGCCATCATTGTACAAATAATGATGGCCTTTAAATCTATAGTGGATTAAGAGCTCGTTTGGTGATCTTATTTTTCAGCTTATCAGACTTATCAGCTAACTTATCCACCAAAGAAGTAATTTTTTATTTCGCGCGTTGAATTGTGTAATTATAAGAAAAAATAAGGTTGAAGTTACTTTTATGGCTGTATTGACTGAAGTTACTATAGAGAATCATTTTAGCTATTTTTCATATAATATTTTCCTTATTTTATTAATAAAAAATATTTTAAATATAATTTTTCATAAATCATCAGAATCAGCCAATCCAGCCACTTCAATTAGAACTTAAATCTCAGCAGAATTAGTCAATTCAAACAATTTTAGTGTTACCAAGCGGACTCTAAATGTGAGCATACCTTCATATAAGTCATTAAAACAATCATTCGATCATGTGGAAATAAATAATTTATGAAGTAAAAAGTATGGAGTATTTTGTAACCTTTATTAAATGTTGACCTTTTATTATGAATATTACTCAGGTACTATATAGAGGCCTAAAGATAAAAAAAGTGACTTTAAAAATGAAATTACAATAATGTGACTACTAGCATGTACACGTGAGTTGGAATTATGGAAACTACCATTTCTGGATGGAGTCTAACAACCGTTTGCATGCTACAAAATTGGGGCATCTAATGCATTTTCAATATAATATTGTAAGTGAAAGCAAAAGTGATGGAATTTTTAGTTATTAAACATATTCATTTTTAGCCATGGCTGATTGTGGGGTGTTCCAAAATTCAGTTTCGTCGTATGACAGAGGGAGTGTAGTCACTGTAGATTGTTTCTTTTGAATTATAGTCACTATACCGATATGTGGCACACTTACTTTGTTACTCACAGTTTGTAGTGATTTGTCGTAGGAGTGTCTATCTTACAAAAACTCCTAGTAACTAACTATGTTGGCGGTAATACTGACTGTCATACAAAAACTCCTAATAATATAATGACCGTCTAGTGACCGCAAATGACCACTCGCCACCCCAGTGATTGACGCCTCTAGCACCGCTCATGCAGTGAGTACCGCCCTCCAGGCCTCACTAGCCCCAACCCCACTTCTCCAACGTACCCTCAGTCCCCTCCCTCATTCCCTAACACATTCCCCGGGCCCCTCTCCACCCCCTCCCCATCCATGGCCCCACAGCCCACACATACCCCTACAACCATCACCCACCCCACTTGCTGAAAATAGGATCATCAACCACCGGTCTGCGCTCCCTCATTCGCTGTTGTCATCATTTTCATAGCCGATGATGCCAATCTTAGTCTCATACACACAATAGAAAGAGAAGAGGATAAGCAAGGGCAAGATTCGTGGTGATGGGAGAGGGTGAGCGGCAAAAGGGCGATGGTTGATGCGTGGCAGTAGGGCGGCGAGGGCGGCATGTGTGTGGTGATGGCGGCTTGTGCGCGGCTACTTGTTTCTAGCGGCGGTAGACCTTGTTCTCCAAATGCTTGTAACGGTTGAAGCGCACATCATGAATAGAGGATACATATACAGAGGATATGTTTGGGCTATCAATGTGTATTCTTGTACATTAATTATTACGTAGCAATTGATAAGTTTATTGTCCTATTTTAAACGTGATCATATTCTTGTCCACTAGAACTCTAGAGGTAATATCCCAATCATTATTTCTTAAATTTTTGCATGCATGAAAATAAGAGTTGCAAATAGTTTAGATATATACACATTCTAAGATAAAAACAATTAATGATTTATAACCTCTTATATGCTCTGTTGGGCCGGAGCGTGAGAATCCTTGGAATTGAGAATTCAACCCTTGGAACAAGATCAAAGACAATAGAAAAAACCGTTGAGATAGGAGAAATAACAGATTATTAATAATGTAAGGGTGTAAATAATAATACTCCATTACTCCATATATCAAACCTTATAAGGAGGAAGAGAGATCACCGTTGATACTTTTACTTGTATTTGGGAGATTTACCTTAATAGGAGCAAAACATGGTTTTTCCCAAAACAGGAGCACCTAGTTTAAACATCCTTAAATAAGAGTTTTTATTTGTGATTGGACCAAAATACCCCTCACAGCCTTTACCACTGCTGCCCCAGGCCCGCCAGACCGCCGGAGCACCGCCGGAAAATTTCAGAATTTTTTTCTTGCAGCCTGCCAGATTTATGCCGCCGGAGGTCGTCAGTGCCACCAGAATCTGCCGCTGCCGCCACCACCGGACTGCCCCCGCTACCAACGGACTGCCTTGGTTGTGCAAGAGAACTGGGGGGCGGCAATTAATTGGGTTAATTATTTGCCGGAGTTTGCCACCGCCGCCGGAATCCACCGCCGACCGCTGCCGCAGTACTGCCGCCACCACGGACGGCCCCGCCACCGACGGACTGCCTTGGTTGTGCAAGGAAACTAGGGGGCAATTATTTAGATCAATTAATTAATTAAATAGAATTAAGGGTAAAAAAGTAAAGTTAGTCCTATAAGGCAAAAAACATTATGTTGTCCTATTTTGAGAAAAAGCTTGAGTTTTGGTCGATTTTCTCAATATAGGGAGTATTTGTTTCTAAATAAAATTTGTCCATGAATATTTGTGTCTCCCGCACCAATAGACTCACCTACTTTCACACAAACATTGTTTTTTGCAACGAACAGTTGCGGTGTGAATTCGAAATGATATGTTAAATAAAATATTGTACTATTATAGGTAGTATTTGATGAAAAATAAAAGTTCCCACCACCAATGAACAGTTGCAAAGACTTTGACACACCATCTTGGACATTGACTACAATGAGTCAAAATGCTTTCACAAGTTGCTCTGTACATATAGAGTTGGAAGAAACTGTGAAAGTGAAGAAGAAACAGATAAACAATGGCTTTCAAGTGCCCACCTTTTGACTTCTCAGCTGAGTATTACCATCTTTCTGGGAACACTTGTGTGAGGCAGAGCAGCTTCTTTGGAGGCAAAGCAGTTCTCAATCAGAGTGTTGGTTACTCTGTCATTCTTGGGTTTGGAGCATTCTTTGCTGTCTTTACTTCGTTTCTGGTATTATTCATTTTCACTCTTCTTTCTCTAAGTAAGTTACCTTTTTTTGAGCGCCCAATGGAGAAGCCAGAAATTCAATATTAGGGGGGGGGGGGGGGGGGGGGGGGGGGGGGGGGGAACTAGAAAAAAACGTTGTAGATTACCGGCTACTGCGCTGCTCACCTTTTAGATTGAAATAGGCCTCATTTGTAGTAATCTACTAATCTGTTTTTTGTTTTACAAGAATTTGACGTTGACTTGGTCTAAATCCACTTTAACCATTAATGATTGAACTATGTAAATGTAATTATTATAAAAAGTTTTATATTTAGAAAATACGAAGTATATACACATTAGTATAAATTTATTAATATTTTATATTATATGATTCGCTTTATGTACCCAATTTAAAAAAGAATTCATCCAAATATCTACTAAAATAAGGGCAATGGATAAAAGTGTGACTTTTTATACTTCAGTGTAGTGATTATTATGATGTTCAAATTTACATTTTAGTAACTTTGATGATATAGTTGTAGAAACTTCAGTCATATTTTTGTCCATAAATTTTGTTTAAGTAGTAGGATATATGAGTAGTTCAAAAGTCAAATTTGTGTGGTTAATAAAGAATGGAGGAAGTTTGTGTGTGTGTGTGCAGACTCTAACTTCAAGAATGAATTCTTGGTAATCATGTGAGTATCCACATCGTTTAAATATAATAACAAACTATTAACTTCTATTTTGACTTTATGTGGATTAAGAAAGTAAAAATTGTGCATTTAGAGTTGTCAAGAAGAGAAACAAAAACCATGAACCATAAAAAAATTATTCATTTCCTGAAAAGGTTAGAGTAATTTAGATTGAGACTGGTGAAAAAGAAAAAGGACTAGGACAGAGGGGCTAATATGTAAGAGATTGAGCTTTTCCTCCCGCTATATTTATCTTTTGTAATGACATGTATAGGTCATATGGTAAATCTTGTTTTTGGATATGTTCTTACATTTTAAGAGTTCAAAACTTAAGCCCAACTGCCCAACTAATAGGTGTGGCTGGAAAAGAGATATGTGGGAGCAAGTCACACTTCAGAATGGTTCAACACTGCAGGAAGGAATGTCAAAACAGGTCTTATTGCCAGTGTGATTGTATCTCAGGTTGTCAATGCTTTACCCTCTATGTCTGAATGAACATCTGATTAAGGTAATGCAGCTAGTTAAAAGTCTTCAACCATATCATTGTGCAGTGGACATGGGCAGCAACTATCTTACAGAGTTCGAACGTGGCGTGGCAATATGGAATCAGTGGTCCTTTCTGGTATGCAAGTGGTGCTACCATCCAGGTTTAGCTAATATTCCCTTCTCTAGCACACAACATTAGATTATCATTTCAAAACTGTACTGATACTTCAGTTGTTGGATTAAGTGGGACACAGTTTTGGTTTGGGACTGACCGGTTCTGTTAAGAGATCTTAATTCCATATTAGTATGATATTGTCCGATTTGGGTAAGCCACACAGATTTGCTTTGGACATCTAGGTAAAGGTTGCGTACGAATTAAAGGAGTTAGGCAAACATTTACATTACATTCAACATTTCAACATTCTAAAGTGGGGGGGGGGGGGGGGGGGGGGGTCACTGGTTTGGTTATACTGTCTGTCTACGTTCTGGCTCTCAGAGGTTTCGCCATATGACATGTTACCGGTTGTCTACCCATTTCTTGGTCATGTACTCGCATGAGGGAAGAAATCTGAACTGTCTCGATCTGATCCTAATCCAAAATTAGGACCATGTTTAAGCCTACGTTGGATTATAGATTTATCTCCACGTGTAGTGTGTACTAAACTAGTCACTTTGAACTGTGAAATGAAATTAACAAATATACCTGGCAGTGGTCCAAGAGTTGGAAAACCAACATTAATGTTGGTATTGCTAATGAACAGGTACTCCTGTTTGGTGTAATGGCAATAGAGATAAAAAGGAAAGCTCCAAATGCCCACACAGTATGTGAAATTGTGAAAGCAAGGTCTGTTTTGCTTTTCACTGATCATTATTAAAGACTTAATATAAAACCTCAGATATGTAATAAGGGTCCGCTTAGAAGTTAGAACACAGAAAATCTTAGGGAGAAATAAGGAAATTTATGTAGAAAATTAAACGAAATAAAATGTTATGAAAATAAATATTGGTCCATACACAATAAACTAATGCTTACTCCCTCCGTCCCGCTAGAAGGTTCCCGTTGGCGGTTTACGATGCGTGACTGATGATAAAGCAACTTAATCCCTGTTCACACTCTGATTATTTTTAGTAAATAAAATTTACATATTCAGAAACTACATTAAAGCCGCTACAAAGCCTGATAAAAAAATGTAAATTTGATAAAAATTTGATTTATGAAGTAAAAGATTAAAAATGATTTAAGTTGACCATGTGAATAGTGGACGAGAACCTTCTAATGGAACGGAGGTAGTATTATTTGTTCAAATTCTTTTTTAAAATTATTTCTTTTATACAAATACTACGAATTCTAAAGATATATGTAAAAACATGAAGCATTAATCATATTTTACTTTCTTTTTCATTTTCCGAGGTAAAACCAAACATAGGAAAATAACTTTCCCTTGCATTTTTTATCATTCCCTGGCATTTTCCCAGATCCATGCATATCCTAAAGTAATTAATTTTCCTTCAGATGGGGAACTGCTGCTCATATAGTGTTCCTATGCTTCTGTTTCTTGACAAACATTATTGTAACTGCCATGCTTCTCCTTGGTGGCTCTGCTGTGGTCAATGCACTCACTGGAGTCAACATTTATGCTGCAAGCTTTCTTATACCTCTCGGCGTTGTTGTCTATACTTTAGCAGGAGGGCTGAAGGCTACTTTCTTGGCCAGCTATATTCATTCTGTCATAGGTCTGCATTCCTCAATAGTTGATACCCATCTGCGGTTTCAGTATACATTACTCTTATGTGAATCTGATTGCACATTTTGACAACAACTATGCTGAAATAGTTGACTTGGCTCCATAGTTTTCAGTGTCATCAATTCATGTCTCAGTCCTTAGATGATGTTGGGAGTTTAGTTATGTTCATTTTCCGTTAAATCTTAGAGGTGGTACCTAAGGATGCATTTTCCCAATCACAACTCCCTCTTTCTCAAGATAATAATTGACATTTCAGAAAAAAATTACATACTGAAAAACTTACAAATAGACTGCTCTATCCTTATTTAAGCTCTACATTAAATGCATTATCTTACAGTATTTCCCATGCTGTTTATGCATTTAATGTAAAAAGAGTTATTATGGATGAATTTGGCAGATTATAAAAAAGTATGTATTGGATTCCTAAAATAACAATTAGTTTTAGATAATAATTAATCATGGAGGAGGGACTATATGTCATATCAGAATGCTATGATCTAGTGGACAGGACTAAACTTGCAGCATTGTAGCAACTATGGGACATGAAATGGTGATGAGGAAACTGAAAGACCGAGTCATCACACAAGATACCAAAAGTGAAACTTTCTCTTAAATCTTGTATATGAGGCAAAAGATTGGGTGTTTCCTTCCCTTTTCAGTTCATGTAGTTCTAGTCATCTTTGTTTACCTCGTCTACGTCGCAAGCAGCAAGCTTGGTAGTCCGAGCCTTGTGTATGAACGTCTCTTAGAGGTTGCAAGCAAATCAAGAAGCTGCCAATACCCACTCTCTAATGTTGGTCAATCTTGTGGTCCTATTCTTGGGAACTTCAAGGGTTCATATGTGACCATGCTTAGCTCCAGTGGTATTGTGTTTGGCATTATCAACATTGTCGGCAATTTTGGTACAGTTTTTGTTGACAACGTAAGTTCGTTCTACTAAGACTTTCATACTGTTCGAGCTGAGTTGACTTAGATAATATATGAGCGCTTGTGACTTTTGTATTTATAACCTATGTGGAATGACTTAAGATCCCTGTCAAAATGGGGGCTCATTGTGTTACCAATCTTAAAACTCATGTTTTCATTGTTGAGGCTTACCAGACCAAATTAGTCGATAAGTTTATATTTTACTAGTGTGAGATGAACTAGACTCAGCCTCGTCTTAACAAACAATTTCGCTGTTTACCAAGTTTTTTCGTTTAATAGGGATACTGGGTAAGTGCCATTGCAGCAAGACCATCATCAACTCACAAGGGCTACTTATTGGGTGGATTAGTCTGGTTTGCAGTACCCTTCTCTTTAGCAACATCACTTGGTTTAGGGGCACTGGCCCTTGATCTCCCCATAACAGAAAGCGAAGCAAGCCGTGGCCTTGTGCCACCTGCTACAGCTATTGCATTAATGGGAAAAGGAGGATCAATTGTTCTCCTTATTATGCTTTTTATGTGAGCCATCTTCCTCCTCCCATTGCATCAACCCTTGTTAGCGGGGGCATGGGTCAGGTTCGACCCATGCCTTGATTTGAAACCTGAAAAAAGTCCAGGCACAAATATTTAAGACCTGAAAATAGATTGGGAGAATTTGAGTTTGCACCCCATGTTTTGGGTGATATTTGACTTTGCACCCCATTTTTAAAATCATTAATGTATGGTGCAAAGTCAAATGATTTTATAGTGAATTGGGGTGCATACATTAATGATTTTGAAAATAGGGTGCAAACTAAAATATCATTCAAAACATGGGGTGCAAAGTCAAATTCTCCCAAATTCTAAAAACTTTGGGTGCACTTCGGGATTGGACCATGTTTCATTGGAAAATGTTATGACTGGAATTTCCCGTCTTGAATGTCTTATTTTTTAAAATCAAATGTCAATAAAATAGTCAAACTTCTCTTGTTAATACATGAATGCATGTGATCATCACATTACCGTTGATCAAAAGGTGTTGTTACATAGGACCTTGACATGGGCATTTTGCAAGTCTTTTTGTACTCATATCATGGTTTTACATAAATATATGTTCATCAAGGTGCATAAATAATTTTATAACTGAAAAACAAATCGTAGAACTGAAAAATTGTTAGATCACAGATACTTTCAAGCAGAAAAGTAAGAATTCAATGACAAAGTAGAAGATCAGATCGAAAGATTTATTCTCCAACTGAACAGTTCACGGGGATACAGTGTTCAGGGACTATTCGAGATGTCCAATCTCCAAAAGCCAAGTTCACAACCAAATAACAGCCTACTGACAATAGCTTCTATTATTCTATTTATAGTAAAATTATCCACGCAGGGATAAAGTAACATTTAATAGTTACTTAGCTAATTAACTAACTATCTTCCGGCTCCTCCTTTTATACACTTTATTAAAATACTGAGTGGGCTGCTGAGCTGTATGTCTATCAAAAATATAAATAATTACTTAAAGTTTTAAAGTATAACATGTTTGGCAATTATTAAAACTTTGGGTTGCGTTTGGCCCAATGCTACCAGACCCAAGTCCAATGTTACCCTATTTGCTAGTTTTTCATAGTTCAAAAAAATTACATTTCTTCAACTGTTGGGTCAAATAATATTATTGAGTAACATTTTAATGTTAAAATAATTTTGAACACCCCACATATTATTGCAAGATCCGCCACTAGACCCAACTATAGTATTTCCGGTCGGATCAAATAAAAAATTGGACAACACTGTTAGACATGCAGCAAGGCAGTCGGTGGAATTCTATAATAAAGTGTATAAAAGAAGAGTTAATAGGGATGTTGCTATTAACTAATAACTAACGGGTTAGTTAGTTAGTTATTGTCCCTGCGTGGACATTACTATAAATAGAAGTGCTCTGCTAGCTGAAGGTAGTTTTTAGACTTGGCTAGAACAGGACTGGGAGATTAGGCATCTCGAATTGTCTTCAGTTGTATAATCTGATTTGGTGAATAAAGTGTGTGATCTGTGTGTTGATTTGAAACAATTCTGTACTTGATAGTGTATGATCTATCATTGGTATCAGAGCATTACGCTCCTGGAGATTTTCGAAGTGAGAAGATTCAGAAACTTTGTCCGTTCGAACTTGAATGGTTAAAACGAGAGCAAGAATGGATCGCCGTTTGGATTCGATGGAACAAAAACAGCAGGAAACGCAATCCGCGTTGGAAGTTCTCGCAGCTAAGATTGATGCGATGGCGACACAGTTTCAGAACCGAGGAAGGTCGCGAACACCTCAAACTCATCATACGAGGGAGTCGCGCAGTCCGATACAATCCAGAGGTAATTCGGTTCACTCTCTTGTTCATAATGATCGACGGAACAATGAGTATAGGAGAGCACAGATTAGAAAGGTAGATTTACCTTTATTCAATGGCGAAGGAGCCTATAATTGGATAATACGAATGGAGAGATATTTCCGTTTGAATCACATTGAAGAGGAAGAAAAAGTTGAAGCATCTATGATCGCAATGGAGGATAGAGCACTTAACTGGTTCCATTTGTGGGAGAATCAGACGGAAGAAACAAGTTGGGAGGCTTTGAAGAAATCTGTCATTCGCAGATTTCAACCAGAATTGATTCAGAATCCGTATGGACCAATGTTAAGTTTGAGACAAACTGGAAATGTGCAAGATTATCGAGAAGAGTTCGAAATGGTGATAGCTCCACAGTTGCATATGGATGTGGAATTGCTGCGAGGGGTATTCATGTCAGGTTTGAAGGAGGAAATAAAATCTGAACTGAAGATGTATGCATCCAGATCTTTAACTGAGATCATGGATAGAGCTGTACTCATTGAACAAAAGATAGAAACACAATTTGGAAGAAGGAAGGAAGAGGATAAACTGACAATGAAGGAAAGAGGTGTTGTACCAGTCAGGGGACAGAGTTGGGGAGATAATTCCAGAATAAAATCTGGTTACAACTGGCCATCTCAGAGTAAAATAGTAGCTGAGAATAAGTATAATAATACTGGAATGGATAAGGCTGGTAAGAAGACCATTGATTCTTATCCAACTGGATTCAAAAGAACAGGACCCTTGTTATCTCAAGAGGAATTTCAGGAAAGGAGTAGAAAGGGGCTATGTTTTAAATGTGGTGAAAAGTGGAGTAAAGAACATATTTGTAAATTGAAAAATTTCAAGTTGATGTTGGTTGAAGAAGCAGTTGAGGATGAACAGCCAGAACCAATTGAAGATACCCTACCAGAAAATATCTGTCAGGAAGTATTGGAATCTAAATCTATGCAGTTATCTTTGATGAGTAAAGAAGGGATTCCTACCATGAGGGCTTTCAAAGTGCAGGGGATTCTGAAGGGAGGATCAAGAGATCAACATGTGAATGTGTTGATTGACAGTGGGGCTACCCACAACTTTATTTCACAGCAGTTGGTGGAGCAATGGAAACTGCCTTTTCAGACCGTTTTTGATTACAAAGTGCAGATTGGTAATGGGGATTATATAGCCAATAACAAGAAGTGTCCTCAATTGATATTAAACTTGCAAGGAGCTGAGATAATACAAGATTTTTATATCCTAAAATTAGGGGGCACTGATTTGGTATTGGGTATGGATTGGTTGACAAGTTTGGGAGACGTAGAGATAAACTTTCAGAGACCGATAATTAAATGGAAACAGGGGAAGCAGGAGGAGTGCATTCAAGGAGATCCCAAACTGAATTCAATGGAAGTGTCATTGAAGACATTCTCACAAATATTATGTGATAATGGAGATGGTTATTTTTTATATTGTGAAGGAAGGAACATGGAAAAGGAACAAGAAGGAGGACTGGAAACCATATGGAAGCAGATTTTGGAAGAATTTCCAGAAATTACAAAACCTAGAGAAGGTTTACCTCCCAGAAGAAATTGTGATCATTCTATATTGATTCAGGAGGGAGCTAAGATACCTAATATCAGACCTTACAGGTACCCACAGTACCAGAAGACTGAAATAGAGAAGATTGTGAAAGAAATGCTTGATTCTGGGATTATTCAGAATAGCAATAGTCCATACAGCAGTCCTATACTCTTAGCCAAGAAGAAGGATGGTGGATGGAGGTTCTGTGGAGATTACAGAGCCCTTAACAAAATCACAGTTCCTGACAAATATCCAATCCCAATAATTGAAGAACTACTTGATGAACTTGGGGAGACTACCATATTTTCTAAGTTGGATCTAAAATCTGGCTACCATCAGATAAGGATGAAAGAAGAAGATAGGATGAAGACAGCTTTCAGAACACATGAGGGCCATTATGAATATTTAGTAATGCCCTTTGGTCTAACTAATGCTCCCTCTACCTTCCAAGCTTTGATGAATCAGGTACTAAGGCCTTATTTGAGAAAATGTGCCTTAGTCTTTTTTGATGATATCTTGGTATACAGTAGAACTAAGGAGGACCACATTGAGCATTTGAGAGCAGTCCTATCTGCTTTGAGGGATAATCAGTTGGTGATTAACCCAAGGAAATGCTCTTTTGGACAACCTCAATTAGTCTACTTGGGGCATATTATTTCTGGAGTAGGAATAACAGCAGACCCTACCAAGATTGAAGCCATGGTTACTTGGCCAAAACCCCAGAATTTAAAGGAGTTGAGAGGGTTTTTGGGGTTAACTGGCTATTACAGAAAATTTGTTAAGGGGTACAGTAAAATTGCAGCACCCCTTACACAACTCCTAAAGAAAGACAGTTTTCAGTGGGGAGAACAAGTTACACAATCTTTTGAGGGAGTTAAAAAGAACCATGACTTCACTCCCAGTCCTAGCTACACCTAACTTCAATAAAACATTCATTCTGGAGACTGATGCTTCAAGAACTGGGTTAGGTGCAGTTCTCATGCAAGAAGGAAGACCTGTGGCTTTCATGAGCAAGATATTATCTAAAAGAAACCAAAACAGATCAGTTTATGAAAGAGAGCTCTTGGCTATTGTGTTAGCAGTACAGAAGTGGAGACCCTATTTGTTGGGAAGAACTTTTGAGATTGTAACTGACCAAAAGAGTTTGAAGTTTCTGACAGAGCAAAGACTTATGGGTGAAAACAACAGAAGTGGACCTCTAAGTTGTTGGGGTACAATTTCATCATCAGATACAGACCTGGGGTAGAAAACAAAGCTGCTGATGCTCTCTCTAGAAGACCTATGCTCCAGTCTCTTTCAATTGTGACATGTCAGGAATGGGATGGATTGGAAGAAGAATTGAAGGCTGACATCAAATGTGCAGAGTTGATTCAGAAGGTGATTTCTTATCCAGATCAATATTCAGAATTTCAGATCATTAAGGGTTTGTTATATTATAACAAGAAACTAGTTCTACCTCAAGGATCACCCAGAATCATAAAGATCATGAGGGAATATCATGAAACTGCCATGGGAGGGCATTCAGGATATTTTAGAACCATGAAGAGAGTATCCAGTCTTTTCTTTTGGCAGGGTATGAGGAAGGATATAAAGAAGTGGGTGGAAGAATGTGTGGTTTGTCAGACTAATAAATATCAAGCTTTGAAGCCTGCAGGACTGCTACAACCACTCCCTATACCAAATAGCAGTTGGACTGACATTAGCATGGATTTCATTGGAGGATTACCCAAATCACAAGGGAAGGATACTATACTTGTGGTGGTGGACAGATTAACTAAATATGCTCACTTTATTGCCTTGTCACATCCCTACAATGCTAAGGAGGTAGCTGATATGTTCATTAAAGAAGTGCTCAGATTACATGGGTTCCCTAAAACTATAGTCAGTGACAGAGATAATGTTTTCCTCAGTGCTTTTTGGTCTGAACTATTCAAATTGGCTGGGACACAATTGAAGTACAGTACAGCTTATCATCCTCAGACTGATGGTCAGACTGAGGTGGTTAACAGATGTTTGGAAACTTATCTCAGGTGTTTAACAGGAAGAAAACCAAAAAATGGCTTAATTGGTTACATTGGGCTGAATATTGGTACAATACTAACTATCATGCTGCACTGAAAACTACCCCTTACAAGGCTCTATTTGGACAGGATCCTCCTGCAGTAATTAGAGGAGATGTTACAGTTACTGCAATAGAAGAAGTTTCAAAACTGACTGCTCAGAGGAATATAATATTGGATGACTTGAAAGAGAATTTGGCCAAGGCTCAGAACCAGATGAGGCAGCAGGCCAATAAACACAGGAGAGAGGTTACACTGAAAATTCAACCTTATAAGCTGAGGAGTTTAGCTAAGAGGATGAACCAGAAATTAAGCCCAAGATTTTATGGTCCATTTCAGATTATTGAAAAACTCAGTTCTGTGGCTTTTAAACTACAGTTGCCAGAAGATTGCAAAGTCCATCCTGTGTTTCATATATCTTTGTTGAAAAAAGCTATATCATCTACTACTTACTTTCAACCTCTACCTAAGTGTCTGAATGAAGAATGGGAGTTACAGGTTGTGCCAGAAGAAATTTTGGACACAAGGGTTGATGCAGATGGTAATTGGGAAGTACTGGTTCATTGGACCAATCTACCACAGTTTGAAGATTCTTGGGAGTCAATGAAAATGATCAAAGAACAGTTTCCAGAGTTTCACCTTGAGTATTATTATCGGTGGAATTCTATAATAAAGTGTATAAAAGAAGAGTTAATAGGGATGTTGCTATTAACTAATAACTAACGGGTTAGTTAGTTAGTTATTGTCCCTGCGTGGACATTACTATAAATAGAAGTGCTCTGCTAGCTGAAGGTAGTTTTTAGACTTGGCTAGAACAGGACTGGGAGATTAGGCATCTCGAATTGTCTTCAGTTGTATAATCTGATTTGGTGAATAAAGTGTGTGATCTGTGTGTTGATTTGAAACAATTCTGTACTCGATAGTGTATGATCTATCAAACACCCAAGCCATACCCATCCTTACCTGAACTGTTTTGGCCTAAATTCCTTTTGCATGATGATGAACAGGGCTGTAACATCTGCTGGTTCTTCTGAGCTAATTGCAGTATCGTCGTTATGTACATATGACATCTACCACATGTACATAAACCCGAATGCAACTGGAAAACAAATCCTTAGAGTTTCAAGGGCGGCTGTTCTTGGGTTTGGAGGCTTAATGGGTATTTTAGCAGTGATATTGAACAAGGCTGGGGTTTCTCTGGGCTGGATGTACTTGGCAATGGGAGTATTCATAGGATCGGCAGTTATTCCCATAGCTTTCATGCTTTTATGGAAAAGAGCCAACGCTTTCGGGGCAATTCTTGGACCGGTCATAGGATGTTTCCTGGGAATCATTACTTGGTTGGGAGTCACAAAAGCAGAGTATGGAAGGGTGGACCTTGACACAACTGGGAGAAATGGTCCAATGCTGGCAGGGAACCTTGTTTCTATATTAACAGGTGGAGCTGTTCATGCTGTTTGCAGTTTTCTGAGGCCTCAAAATTATGACTGGGAGACCACTAAGAAGATAAGTGTTGTTGAAAAGGAAAAGAGTGAATTGCCATATGTGGAGTTGAAGGAGGAGAAGCTGGCCAGTGCTAGAAGATGGATAATCAAATGGGGTGTTTGTTTCACCTTTGTGATTCTTGTGCTGTGGCCTCTCCTTACACTTCCTGCCGGTAAGTCAAATCAAACATACCCTAAGGGCTAGGATTCAAATTTCAACTTATAATAACAACAAACTTTCTGTTTGATAAAGTAGTAGTCAGAAAAGACTAGGGAGAGAAAACAAAGAGAAAATTATAGAAGAAATTTAGAAGAAAATGTTGATGAAACCAAATTATTGGTTTAAACTCAATAAATTTATGTTTTATTTGTTAAATTGTGCTCTAGCATTTTATTTCTATTTTATAAATACCAAAAAAGATAAACATATGTTAAAATATTTAGAAACACAAGTCATGATTCATTTTCCTGCAACAACTTCAGTTAGCTGCTTTCATTTCCCTTGCATTTTCCAGGATCCAAACACAGCATAGATGTTAACTCCAGATAGGATGAAAGAAAGTCAAAAAGTTTGATGCCTGATATACCATTGTTTCCTAATTAACTTGTGTACATACTGAACCCAAGCTGTCCAGTCTACCTGCCATTGACCACCACTTCTGACCACCACCTCCGGCCACTGATCACTGAACACTCACCTCCGTTCACTGATCGCCCCAGACCCCTCAGCATTCCACTGACCACTATTCTGGTTTCACTGACCACTACCACTGAAATTCATTAGCAATGGTCAGTGAAGCCAAAAACAGTGGTGATAGTCAGTCTTTCGAGGTGGGTGGTCAATAGGTGGTTGCAGCCTACAGGTGGCCATTGAAGCAGAGTAGTCCTCAAAGTATGCTGCTAAAAACTGCTAACAGAAAGGATTGTAACATGATGCAGGGCAATTCAACAAAGGGTATTTCACATTCTGGGCAGTGATAGCCATTGCATGGGGTACGATTGCCTCAGCGGTAATTATTGCTATGCCATTGATAGAGAGCTGGAAAACTATCCAATGTGTTGCTCGAGGCATGTTCACAAATGATAGGCTTATGGAAAATTTTGAAGAGTTGAACTCAAAACTTCAGGCAATCATTTTAGCAATTCCGGAAGCAGAGAGAATATACTTACTTGAGAAAGAGAAGGACAAGAAGGAAGAAGATGCATTAGATAGGGATCAAATAGCTGTTCCGTAACCACTCTACTTGTCTTGGAACTATGAACAATTTCTTCTCAACCCGGAAGGAGTCCTCCCGGTTGTTACGGCAGCTATGCGAGGCACCAGCTCACAGCCTTGTCACCTAGACGTTTAGGGACCGTCTAGGAGACAAATATGCAGCAAACAAGTTGCTTCATATGTATCAATGTATAGTAATATACAAAATAATATATTACAGATTAAATTAAAAATAAAAATTTGAAACATAATAAAAGGATAAACTAGATGAGAAAATAATGCAAGTGTACTATAAGTTTATTCACAAGGATTGAAAGATCGCTAGATGGTCTCCAGCTAATCAGCTATACATAAAGAGTGTACAGTAAGAAACACATCTGGCCAGCAATGGCGACTAGGGTTGGACTGGCCCCGTCCGGGCTGGGCTCCGAGCCGGGATTGGGCAGGACTGGGATTTTGGGTTGCAGGTCCAGTACCGGTCCGGGTAGCTACCAGGACTGGATCGGGCCGGTCAATTTTTTTTTAAAAAAAATGGCCTTTTGAATTTATTCCTACCCCACCCCCACCCCCAAACCCCTCCAAACCACACAGCCCCACCCGCCTAGCAGCCTATAAGTTGCGAAAAATTAAAAACAAAAAGGGCTCGAACCGACAGGCCGGGCACCTATTTTCTAGACTCGTAGCCTGCCCTCCCCTATACCCAGTTCGGGCCTCAGTCCCGGTCCCGGTACCGCCGGAACCGGGCCGGGCCGTAATGACCTACGACAGAGACCTGACCTACTGGTTGAAGGGCCTAGGGTTTTAACTGATGACTTAGTATTTCAAACTAAATTACTCCCTCCGTCCCATAAAATAAGTCTCACTTTCCTTTTTGAGCCGTCCCAAAAAATTATTCTCATTTCCCTTTTTGGAAAGTTTTGTGTGACTAACATTCATTTACCTTTTTTTACTCAACCACAACCATACATTTCCACTTTATTCTTATTTTCTTAAACTCCGATCCAAATTGAAATGAGACTTATTTTATGGGACGGAGGTAGTACTAATTATCTTCTAAAACCTAATATCCCGAGTTGGGTCAGTGAAAACTGGATCTATACATCAACATGATAACTTGTGAACCGCTAATCAACATCGAGTTACACCTTGGCAGCTTCAAGCTAATCGGTTGAGCATGGCATCGCCTAGGGATGGACAGGGCTGGTTCAGCCCGACCCGGTACCCAGCCCGGCCCGTTACTGTGTGAAACCGGCTCAGCCCAGCTGACCGGGACCTGGACCGGGGGCCCGAATCGGGGGTATTAGGGGCGGGCTTCGGGCTGCTGAAAAGGTGGACCGGCCCGGCCAGTCCGAACCTTTTTTTTATTTTATCATTTTAAGGGGTGCAAGGCGGGTGGGGCTGGGTGGTTTGGGGGGTGGGGGTAGGAATAAATTAGAAAAACAAATTAAAAAAAAAAACTAGACCCGAGCCGACCCGGCCTCGGTTCAAGAAGGGGAGGCCCGGAACCGGCCCGGGTAACCCCCGGGTCTGGTCCGGTCCGGGCCGGGCCGAGCCTCGGTTCTATTATATTTTTTTTTTGGGGGGGGGGGGCTTTCCTAGTTAACCCCCAACCCTCCTCCACACCCCCAAATCAACCCTAACCACCTCAAATGGCCCAAAATGCTCAGCCCAACCCAAAAACTTAAAAAAAAATTAAAAAAACAAAAAAAAATTGGTCCGGGCCGGTTCACCTTTTGAAGGGCCCGAGCCCAAACCGCTAGGGGTGGGCATAAAAGCCCGTAACCGTTTAACCATACCGAAAAATCGGAAAACCGTTATTTTTTTCGGTTAACCGTACCGATTTTAAATAAATCATGGTACGGTTAACCAACCGCAAAAAAAAACGGTACACGGTACGGTTATGGTTTTGAAAATAAGATATGGCCGGTTAACCGCTAACCGGTAATTCAAATAATACATGCTTCGTATGTAACCGGTAAGCTAATTTAAGGTCGTTGGTCGTATATTTCAAAAAACACTACCTGGAATCCTAGATACATATGAAACAACTCGCCTACTTTTTATTCTGTAATAATTAATAAGATTAGAACTTCATCAATTCTCAAATAACTTTGATACCGGAGTATTAAATAGAAAGTTCAATATTAATCTTATTAATCTAGCTTAAGTCGTACACAAATATAACGGAGATTATATTTGCTGGAGTTTGTAATATATGTGACTCTGTCAACTTATTGAATTATATTTATAGTAGAATAGACATTGACTTGACTATGAATAAACTATAAAGTTTAGATAAATGTGATTGATACCTAAATATGGATAAAGTTTTAGAGAAATGGCGGTATTTTAGATTTTAGATACGTCATTATTATAATTTGTAGTATTATAATTATACTTTGTTGGAGTTTGTATTATAGCATCTTGTTAAGTTTGCAGTATTATAATTATATATGTGGTGTATTATTTTAATTCCTGCATTTTTTGGGAAGTTTCTATTCATATTTGATTTTACCGTTAATATTTTGTGGTTTTATGGTTTTTGGTTAACCGCAAAGCGGTTAACCGAAGTTATGGTTAACCGATACTCGGTTAACCGAAGTGATGGTTAACCGATACTCGGTTAAAAAATAGTAACCGGTTTCTCGGTTAACCGAAAGTTGGTTAACCAAAACCCGGTTAACCGACCATGCCCACCCCTACAAACCGCCATCCCACCGGGCCGGTTGGCCCGAACCGGGCCCGGAACCGGTTCACCGGTCCGGGCCGGGCCCGCACAGTAGCGGGCCGGTCCGGTTCCGAGCCGGTTGGCCCGGTCCGAGTCCACCCCTAGGTACCAGGCCTTCAACCCAAAAACCCAGGCCCACCCAATCCCATCCCGGGTCCCGGCCCGAGCCCAATCCATCCCTAGCATCACCCCTTCACCATCAGGATGACAAGTTGGTGACTAAACGCCACTGTAACAGCCATGAGTCCACCATCACTGTAACTTTGTAAGGATGAACCCAGTCTGATTCCGATTCTAGACCAGCCGATTCCCAATCCCCAAAAGTTGTCACCCATAAGTAGGCTTGGACTCGGGTCGGGCCACCCGGCCCGCTACTGTGCGGGACCGGGACCGGCCCGGTTCTCGGGTCCGGGTCCGGGTCGGGCCTAGGCCCGGTGGGTAGGGCGGGTCCGGGCTCGGGTCTCAATTTTGGTGAACCGGCCTGGCCGGGTCAGGCCCGGGCCCGAGCCAAATTGATTTTTTTTCATTTTTTTTCATTTTTGGGGTTCCACCCGGGTTGGGCTTGATGGGTAGGATGGGTTTGGGGGGTTTGGGAGGGTGGGGGTGAGGGGGGGGTTAGGAAAGCAAAAAAAAAAAAAAAAAAATCCAAACCGGAGGCCCGGACCGGACCCGGTGGCTACCTGGGCCGGTCCCGGGTCCACCATTCTTGAACCGCCGGCCCGCCCAGGCCTAGGCCCGACCCGGACCCGAGTCCACCCCTACCCATAAGTGGGATTGGAATTCCTGCACAAGGGCATTTGGGGTCCCAACTCCCATCCCGTTTTGTACCCTACTAATAAAACAAATTACAGGGTCATGAATAGGGGTGGACTCGAGTCCGAGCCGGGTCCAGGCCGGGTCCATTATCATTTTTTTTCCTCTTCCTAATTAACCCCCCTCCCACCCCCAACCCCCAAACCACCCCAAATGGCCCAAAATACCCAACCCAACCCGAAAATTTAAAAATAATTGAAAAAAAAAAAAGTTTTGGCCCGAACCGGGCCCGGCCGGGTCGGACCTTGTTTTGGGTGACCCGAGCCCGGACCGGAAAACCCACGGGTCGGGCCTACCTGGACCAGTCACTGACCGGGCCACCGGGTCAGGCCGGGCCGGAACAGTGCTGGTCCCGGGCCGGTCCCGGGTCGGGCCACCCGGCCCGAGTCCATCCATAGTCATGAACCAGTGCCGTCTCATTTTGGAGGAACCAGAGCTGTACCCAGGTCGGGTCAGTTCCTGGTACTGGTTTTTGTCCTGTCCCAATTACTCCGGCTCCAATGATTTACTTACGCGGTTCCAGTCCAGCTGCAGAACTGGGTGCACGCACCCCTACATCATGGTTTCATGGGCCAGATGCACACTTATTCAGACAATAAAAGATACTGAAGAGGAGAGTAACCGATTAAGTGAGAAGAAACTGACTTGGATCATTCATCTAATTTCATTTCTATACATGAATGTTATTGAGAAATATATGGATAACCCTCATAAACTACTGGGCATCCACTCATTTTGTGAGATACAAAAAGAAAGGTGAATGTAAAACGAAGAAAATATTGCTAATCTACTGACTGATGAAAATATAAATATATGCATATTTATGCACAACTAATGAAAAAACCTATGAGCTGGAAAGACAGATTAATAAAAAACATCGATTTATAATACTAGGAAGATCTCTGAATCCGGGTGTTATTAATCTGACGAAGCAGATCTCTGTCAGCATCTGCTTCTTTCTTACTAGCAGCCTGTTCCTTCAACGCTTCCTTCTCCAATTTTTTCCTTTCAGCATCCGCCAGCTGTGCATTTTCATCACGTGACTTGTTAAACATCTTGGTGAAGATCGCTAAAGTTTGTGTCACTGCACACAGATCAGAAGTCTTAGGCCCAGTTTATTTTGGAAAATGCTTTTGTTTGGGATATATATTTTGTTAGAAAATAAGTAGTACTATGTGTTTTATGTAATGTTTAACCCGCAAAAACATTATTTTAAATCTGATAAATAAATTGACTTCCTCCCAACAAAATGCTCAAGGATCAAAGATTTATATTTCTTCAAGTTTTAACGAATGTTCTCCGGTGCCAAACACAGGAAAAGTACATCATTTTAAAACCTTGTTCAAAAGGGCATCGCGCTGGATCCTCTCCAAAATACAGTGATAGAGAGTCTGCATTTCTCCCCTACAAATACCACGTTGTTCCATCAACTACCTTAGCCATCAAATTGTCAAACAAAACAGAAATGAAAAATCATAACAAAGAGCCAATTAAAAAGACATAGTTAGTGGCTCACCACTTCACTATACAGGGTGATTAGAGTCCTAACATCAGCTTCAGCAGTATTAAGGAAACTTTTCAAGACCTACAAAAGAGCATATAAAATAAGGTTAGGTTTTCAAGAATTATAAAAAGTTGCTATAGTAAATCATCTCCAAGAGAAAAATAAGACAATCAAAAGTCGACTTTGATGAAAACATTACTAGGTACACCACTTTTCCTGCAAAAAAATGATATTTTTTCTTTCAATGCTTTTATATTACCACACAAAAAACTATGCATACCATATGAAATATCAAGAAAACAAACCAGATATATAACCATGATATATCATATATGCAGAAGAAATTAAATAGAAAAATATTATCTGTTACAGATGCATTCTGGGGCAAACAATACAGCAGGCGACAGGGCCAAGAACGAGCCCAGAACGTTGCAGATTCATACTCGGACAGTGGGCCCAACTATACCGAGAAACAAAGTGGCTGAAAAAAAACTATTAATTAGTTATTACTATTATTCCTATTTCAGTTTTAGGCAACTGCCTAATTATTCTAGTATTCCTGTTTCAGTTTTAGGCAACTGCCTAATTATTCTAGTATTCCTATTTTAGTTTTAGGCAACTGCCTAATTATTAATTGCCTTTAGGACTCTTGTATCAGCCTCTATATAAGGGTCATTATTATTATCAATAAAGGAACTTTTGGAAGAATTAATTTTGTGTGTCTTGACTAGGTCGGACATCAATTTAATTCCTACTTAAGAATTCAATTCTTCAGAAATCATAGATTCCTTCCCAGTCAATTATCTTCCCTCTGAATTACAGAAACACTCTCGTCCCTGGACGAGATCATTAACACAGGTTCTTAACATTATCTTGTCTCACAATTTCACCTTTTGAAAGCCAAAAGATATAGCACCATCATTCTCAGACGCAGTAAGTTCTTGTTCAACCTTCTCAAGCCCTTTACTAACTGCTTGCATTTCTTCAGCCAAAGACTTCAACTGGATCTGATCATTCCGATTAGGGCTTAGTAAAAAAGAAAGAAGAAGAAGACAACTTTAAAGTTTTGAACATTAACAAACCTTAGCAGCTGCTTCCAAATGAACAAGATCCTTCCCATAATCAAGCAGGTCAGGCATTTTCTCTGCGAGCAGCTGGTGAACATTTGACGCCCCAAATTTTAAAACAGAAAGCATCTTTTAAGACTATAAAAACATACCATAATGTCATAATCTCACACAATTACAAGCAAGAAAAATGGAAAAAAAAAAATCTACCTTGCACAGATAATGCATTAGAGTCATTTTGTTGTTTTTTGCACGAGTATCGGAAAGTTTAAGCAGACTATCCAATTTAAACCCCACGGCAGATCCTGAAATGTATTTCATAAACAACAAATAGAGAATAACATTATGCAATATACTACATCCGTCCCAAAATATTTAGCCAAATTCAAAACTTTGATCAATTATATATATATATATATATTGGAAATTATTTATAATATAGAAATAATATGAAAATGTTCTTTGTTAAAAGTACTTTCATAAAAGTATAAAATTTATAACTTTCATAATATTATACTAATCAAAACTATGATCCAAATTTTAAGATTTGGCTAAGTATTTTGGGATGGAGGTAGTACTATATAAAAAACCTTAAATATTTGAAAGTTACCTCGTGCAGTGCCCTGATTCAGTGCATTTCCCAGGGTTAGAATGGTCTGCATTATTTGCCGCAATTTCCCAGATTCTTTTACCTAACAATATGTGAAATGGAGTTGACATAAAATCAAAATGTTTAAATTTTAAGCATTAACACTTAACATTGATAGTAGTAGAACCTCTCTCGCAGTATCATTAATTATATTCAAGTTAGTTCTCAAGTCTTTAACCTGAAAAATAATAACTCGTTGAAATTAGCAGATGAAATGACTAAAAATCCATTTTGTTTCAGAAAGATTAGTTAATCTCTTATAGAGGGAGACATAACCACTGAAGTAGCCCCTCAACCTAAACCATAAAATCGTTGTTACATCACATGAAATATGAAATACCAAACACACCTGATTTGAAAACGTAATAGTAAATGCAAAAACTCTCAACTTCGATTCAACTCGCGGTACCCTCATCAACTCTGAGAAAAACTGAAAATGACATGCCCCATTGAAAATTATTTCACTGGTCACCACATAGTTTTACTAACCAAATAAAATTTCATTATTAGAGTGGAGTGGGAGGGGGTTGGGAAAGGAACCTGTTCACACTTGCCAAGCATTTCCCTGTTCCCAGTGTAGTTCTGAAAAGAAAAGAAAATGAGGAGCATATTTATGAATTAAAAGTAACTATGAAATTGCCTGCGTGTATAAAAAACAGAAGGAAAACTGTTAGCATTCAAAAGAGAACAGAAATTTGACAACAGCCCCTGGTATCTGTCATTTCACTGAAGAACTATGAGCAAATAGTTGAAGGTGAATATGACCATGTGAAATTCAACTCATGCCTCATGGGCATGCAAAAGCATACAGTGATGCACAAATCAAAAGACAAACGAAATATCAAATGCTCCCTCGATTTTTTCAGTTGCACGCATTGGGCTTCGCCAACTTTCCTTTTTTGTTTGTCCCAAAAACTATGACACTTTCTTTTTACAGTAGTGCATTTGTGTTTTAGCTTTTTTCTCTTCTCTGCACAAACCTCAACCAAACAGTTTTTACTTTTTTATGTCACACCCAACACAAAGTTGGTAATGTCCAATGGGACGGAATGACGGATGTAATAGAGGGTAGTAAATAGTGTAGAAAAATGAAACAAGTAGGAGAGAGTAGATGAAAAGATAGAAAATGTAGGAAGAAGAAGATGAGAAAGTAGAAAATATAGGAAAGAGGAGATGAAAGAGTTGGCAAGAGAAGATGAAAATGTATAGTAAAAGTTGTCAAAATGGAAATTTGAGAAGCACTTATGATAAAAAGAAAGGAGAGAGTATATAACTAACCCATTTAAAAACTCTGATAAATAGTCAGAGTGCCAGTGGTGCCACAGAGAAGGTTGGTAAACTAAGTACTTTACAGGTGCACATTGCACAAATACACACAAATGGAAGTTCAAAACAAATTAATTTAGATTTGGAAGCCAATGCCTGTTCTGGGAGGGATCCATGTTTATTAAGGAAAAACAGAACAACAAACACTTATGTAACATAACATGCCCTTCTATATAGATATGAAATGCAGCATCATGTGTTGATGTGTTGAGTCTGTTGATATATTTTCTGGGATTGAAGCAACATCCCTGATAGGCAATTTATAAGGAAGGAGTGCCAAGAGATTCAAGAGAATAAAGATCAATAGCATACACTGCATACTTCATATTTTCTAGAACACTCGTGTTTGAAGTTAGGACTAAGAAAGCAATAATGTAAAAAAGGAGATATAGAGAATAAAGAATCAACAGCATACACTGCAAACTTCATATAACACTTGTGTTTGGACAAAGAAAGCAATAATGTAAAATCAGGAGAAATAGAGAAGAATATACCCTCAAGGTCTCCATTTCTTCTTTTGTTGGACAAAACTTTATTAGATTTTCAACCTGATCAATATCCAGTGCTGATGAATCCAGAGCCAGAATGGCATTCTGAACATCAAACATAACAGCATGGCATTTAATATAACCACTGTCCACAAATCAAAGATCTCGCACAAAATAAATTGTTAAATGCCACAGCAATCTCAGCATTAGTCATGAACACATAATAGTAAAAACAACATATACTCATTTTCACTTCACTCAAATAGTAAGACATCAAAGAGGGTCAGAATTATTTTTGGTCCTATATTCATCTAATCATTCTGTTATTTGTCATGTCCTTACAATTGATGATGCAGCAGGAAATTAACAATTGTAGAATTTTTAGTATAACAAAATTTCGACACATAAACATTAGTATATGAATTTCTGTAAATTAGTGATATGCTGATATGTTGGATCCCATAAATTATATAACCATGTTTATTTTAAGGAGTAAGAATATCATAAAAGCTATTAAGATGAGATAAATTTATAAGGAATTTGGAAATGGACTCACAATCATATCAGACAGGGGAATCTTAATTTTCGTAAGCATGATTTCACAATTGTATGCTCTTCGGTGCTCAACCTGGGAATAACAAAGTTGGGAAATACTCAGTCACTAGTCACTGGCAATCAATAAAATTAACCAAACATTAGAAGCACTACTTCTGATTTGCACAAAATCCCTATATAGCAAATGTGTGCGCATGTGCGTGCAAGGATTAAGCATAATCATCATCATATTATAAAAAACATGTTGGCTATCAAGCCCCACATGCAGCGGTCTGTGTGCAACATTAGCTAGAAGTTTCCATTATTGATACTGACAGTGGCATGCTCAGAAAGCTTCAGACGTTCAGCTAAAGGTTTCACATACCAATTGTACTTTCTCAGGTTTGTTTATTTTTGAACCACGCCGACCTCCAACTTTATTGATGCCATCTGATGCAGAAGCTACCGAAAACAGATTTTCCAACTCTGTTATATCAATTTCAGGTGCCCTATCGGATAGTAATAGAATATGATCAGAGTTTCACTGAAAAAGTGGAAGTAGTCAACCACAAAGTGAAATAGTAACCTAAGATTCTCAAATATCTATACAACTAGACCACTAAAATGCAAATCATAACTGTGAATGAAAAATATAGAGCAGCCTGTCCGTAGAACTCACACTATTAAAAATAGAGCAGTTTGTCTCCTGATGTGCTATAATAAATTTTGCTATGCATACCTTGATTGGTTTTCCTGCTTTTGTGTATCAGCCCATAAACTACCTTGCAACGCTCTTGTAACTTTGACCCAATGTAAAGGCTTCAATGAAGCTTTTTTGGGGGGAATAGTAGATCCAATTGCAGGTCGACTCTTGCCATTAGTTGATCCTATAGAGCCTCTTCCCCTTGCAGTAGATGAAGGTGGGGGAGGTGGTGCACTAGAGCCCTTCCCACCAGGTGGTGCGCCAGGAGGCTTTGGAGGTGGTGGTGGTGCACCAGGAAGCTTTTGAGGTGGTGGTGCACCAGGAAGCTTTGGTGGTGGTGGTGGAGGTGGTGCACCAGGAAGCTCTGGAGGTGGTGGTCGGGGTGGTGCACCATGATGCTTTGGAGGAGGAGGATGTGCACCAGGAAGCTTTGGAGGTGGTGGTGGTGGTGGTGGTGCACCAGGAAGATTCGGTGGAGGAGGAGGAGCAGGAGGGTTTGAACCATGACGAAAACCTCCCGCGGGTGGTGGAGGAGGTGGTGCTGGTGGAAGTGGACTTGACTTAATTGGCATTGACGAAACATGTGGTGGAGGGGGTGGAGGGGGTGGAGGCCTCTTAGAAGTGGAAGGTGGGAGAGGAGGTGGAGGTGGCATAGTGCTCGTTGAAGAGAAAGGTGGCAGAGGAGGTGGTGTTGGTGGAAGTGGTGGTGGAGGTGACAAAGTGTTCTTTGAAGAGACGGGGGGAGGAGGAGGTGGTGGAGGTGGGAGGTTGACTTTAATAGAGATATGAGGCGGGGGAGGTTGAGGTAGCCCCTCTGTAAAAAAGGAAAGAGGGGGTGGAGGGGGTGGAGGTTGTTTAGAAGAAACAGGAAGTGTTGATGATGGTAGGGGAAGGGGTAAAGAAACTTTAGGAGAGGGAGAAGGAGGAGGAGGGCGACAATTAGGAGAAATGTAAGAGGGCGGAGGAGGAGGTGGTGGAGGAGGTACAGCTGATAGAATACATTTGTTTTCTACAGCATTTGGTCCAAATACTTCCTTAGAACTAAAAGCAGGTGGGGGTGAAGGAGGTGGTGGTGGTGATGGTTGCATGGTAGCTGAACACTCTTTACTACAACTAATAAAGGGTGGTGGTGGTGGCGATGAGGCTTCTTTACTAGGAAAATCATAAAGAGGAGGAGATGGAGGTGGTGGCGGTACCAACGATTTAGAAGTAATTATATTAGTATCAGTAGAGAGAGGTAATGAAGGTGGTGAAGTTAAGGGCAAAGAACAAGCTTGTCTATCGTGATCTTGTCCCGTTTTTGAACGATCGGGACCAATGCTCAAATCAGATTGCTTATTGTTCTCAAGAAGTGGACAAGGTGGCTCAACAAAATCCTGTTTTGGATCCTCAGGAATTTTGGCAATAGAAAAATCCTCGGACAAATGATCATCAAAGCTGTCGGCAATACTAGGCGCATTGGTTTCTTCTTCAGAATCAAAAGGTGAAGAGTATTCACTAATCCTATTTTGCAACATGGATAAATCCTTCAAGTCATTTAAGACTGAGAGTTGTTTAAGGAACCATAAAGTAGCATCATCATTATTAGATCCAGAATCAACCCATTCAATTCCTCCAAAAAGTTCTTGGACCATTGAAAAGGCTTCAATAGGAAGTCCGCCTTTCTCCTCCCCATTTAAAACCACAGTTGGAGCTCTTGGAGGAGGTATGCTCTCCACATCGCCAAACAAAATCTGTACACAAATTTATAATATCATCTTACATAGATGTGAATATGTGATCTATGATAAAGACAACTAATTGATTACGTTACTCAACTAGCAGGCAGAAGACAATCCCATTGATTAAGGCTCAGTTAGGAGTCGAATTTAAAAAGGCTTTGGAGAGGACGGGTTACTTTTCATTTTAAGCAAACAATGCTTTAAGTTGATTATTTTGCAGAATAAAAGACACTCCCTCTGTCGCTTGAAGAACTTCCTACTTTTTCTTTTTTACGTACCTAAATAAAGTCATGCTTCCTTATTTGGTAAACAAATTTACTCAACCCTGAAGTAATAATGACTATACAATGTCACATCGTGTTAAATAGTGCCTAACAGTGTAGTCTACATAAATAAAAACCCAGTAAAAAGGGCATTTCAAAAAGTCAAAGAAAAGAAATTATTTTTTTTAAACTGTGTGCTACAAGGGGCAGAAGAAGTATTAAATAATAAAGTAGTATAAACTCAATGTCCATTCCCCTCTACAACATAGTCTCAGTCACCTCAGCTCGAAAACCTTTCGGGTAACGCCCCTTTGAATCCCAAAGGATATCCAAGTTATCACTGCTTAGCATCAAAATGTTGGACCGAATGAAAGCTGTGTTGAACATCACACGAAACATCATGACTTCTCTCTCTGTTTCCATTTCTAGATGCACACACTCCAGAACAACATCCCCTTGAACTAAACACTGAACATCAATCTTAATGACATCACTGTCCTTCTGTATTAGAATAAAACAATAAATCAGACAGTATTGGGACCCCCTACAATATAAAATGATGAGATATGGAGAGTACTTCCACCCACTCCGGTCCTTATTTTAAGATACAACTGACCAAATTGCACAAATCAAGGGAAGTAGTTAATATTGCTGAATTCTTAAAAAAATGATACTCCCATTCTACCTATTTTTATTATGCCTCGCAAATAATTGTGGAGTATTTTTTAAAATCAACATGAACACATTGTTTATTATGGGCAAACCATGGAAAATGCAATGTTTCCTAGAAAGATAATGCCTAAAAGGGGACCATTGACTCCTCCTAAGAGGCGCCTTATAACATGGTCCGGAGGAAGTATAAAAGCATTTCCTACCTGCCGGTAATGTTTAAGACCTTTTCCTTTCTTGGACATCGAGTATAACATTTGAGTTGAGAGTCCATCCTTGCTCAGAAGATTTCTACCAAAAATACGAATCATAGGCCTACACCCTTTTTTACTATCAAATTTAGGAATGGCTCGAAGAATGAGACAATCCAAAGAAAGAGCCCGTTCAGGTGGGGGCCACTGAGGGGAGATATTTCTTCTAGAAAGATATTGCAAGTAGCGAAGCTGAGATGGAAATGGGTTCAGTGGAGACAACAACTGTAATAAACCTTTAGGGGCCTCTCGGTAAACCATTTCAAGAATTTTCTTCTCTCCACTATGCAATTTCTTGAAAATCATGAAACTAGCCAGAACAAAGGCCAAAACAGGCCAACCTCCTCTCTCACAGTGTAGTAAGATAACATTCTGTTGATTCCCAAGAGAGAGCCAACTCTCGCAGACATGAAGAAAATGATGGATCAAAGACAACGGCAACACCGGGCAACCTTCATATTGTCTTGGATAATCCATAACGGTAACATCATACTTGCACAAATTCGCAGCAAACTGACTCTTTTTCTCTCCTTCTCTGAAATTGAATGCAAGAAACGATGATTCGGGGAACTCTTCATGTAGATCAGTAATGATATTGTGCAAATAGAGCTGATAAGTTTCCTCCGGTAATACATCAGTTGAAAAGCAAGAATCTAAGACTGCAGAAACACATCATCAAGCATCAATTAAATTAGAAGATTACATGTCCACAATTAGGTAGGTATATAGGTTTTTAAAGAAATCATATATGAAAAAAAGAACTATAGGTCTACAAGTTTAAGATTGGTTTACCATATACTTTGTCATCAAGTTCAAGCAAGCCATCAGGGGGTCTTCTATAGAAAAATCTACTTAGAAGGGTCATCACTGGTAAGTTTAGCGGACACTAATTCCAATTATACAAAAGAGATCCTCATACCTACAAAATAACATGAAAAAATAAATAATGAAACGGCTAAGCCACAATCAAATGATTCACACATGGGAAATATATAAACCTTCAAATTTGATTGTATTTTACACGGGAAAATTCGTATTTAAAGAACTAGAATAGGGTATACTTATGCAAATGAAGTTTTCAACTCAAATTGTGATTTAAATGAGCTCACCTGCATCAGATATATTAGCAAGAAAACAACATTTGAATTCAAGACATTAGGAAATTAAAACTGTAGCATAAAAGCTGGGAGCTTTATTAAACTACTAATCTTCTACTGAAATGATTAAGCATAAATAAAATTGAATAAAACTGAACTATCCAATGTCCTCGAAAATATAAAAAAATACACAAACAAATTTATAAATGATAAGTAGAAGCCATGAGAGAGATATGAACTCAAATCGTACCACCGGAGAGAAGAGCTATGAACAAGAAACTGAGCGTAGATTGGAAGCAGCTGAATCGTGTAGTAGGCGTAGCAGAACAGATAAATGCCGTGGAGAATCACATTCAATTTTCCGAAGAATGAGCTCTGGAATTTCAATTCAAAATTACGACTCCGAACGTTACTTTCAGGCACCTCATACTAAAATAACCCTATTAAATTGATTTTTTTCCAATTAGCAAAAACTGCAAAACTCATTTTTCGTTTTTTGTACGGAGTAATAAATTTGCTTCGAGTCCAGAGGGAACGCGCGTCACCGTCTCACTGACCTGTTAAATGAACCCGCGTCACCCCAATGTCATTCTCCCGATTTAAATGAATGATATGTTTGGCATAGCTGAAAAGATGATTTTATTGACCCAAAAGAGCTTAAAACGAAAAACTAGTAGTTGTTTAATAAAAAGTGGACCGTTTGATTTAGCTTTGTTTGGTATACAAGCTGTTGAGACTAATTAATGCTAGAAGTATGAGATTTATCAGAGATGCTACTCACTGTAACATCTCAAAAAAGATCTTTTGTTTTTATAAAAGCTCATAAAATTGGCATTACAAACATACAAGTATAAGTTTTTAAAGACTTTATAAATAATACAAAAGCTATAAGTCATGGACTTATGTGTGCCAAACATAGCCGAAATGAGCACGCATAACTTGCGAAATAAGTCTTGAAAAATTTAAAATGAACATTACACTAATATGCATGAATATGATGTTTTAAAATGAGTATTACACCAATACCAAAAGAGTATACATAATTTACGAAATGAGTATCGAAAATAAAAAATGTTTAGTATGTTCAAATGTTGATTTATATATGCTCATATATAAAGAAACTCCATCCACAAATGAATCAGCAAAAAATATGGAATCTCAAATAGCAATTAATTCACCAGAATTCGGCTTGTCTCAGGTTGTTACCCAACGATCCAGCTCCTGCCTAGCGTAACCAAACCCTCCTCTTGTTTAGAAAACACCAAAAAATCAAAAGCTCACAGTTAACATGGGGAACATAATCGGTCTATCAGACACGACATCACCTCAGTCTCCTTTCTCCAACTCTTCAGTAAGATATCCTCAGTAAGAGGTCAGTGAAACTTCACGGATTTAAAAACACGGCTCGCTCCAATCGTAACCCTTGATATAGCAACATTTTACAAAAATATCTGAGGGTATCAAGCACACGGTACAACCGGTTGTACAATATATTTTACCACATGTGGGTTCCTGAGATTTTAATGATTTAATCTATGGCCTAATTTGTTATGTGCCTAATTCTTCCAGAGTGACATACTACCTTTGAAACAAAAGTGCGTTTATATGCGATTTTTAAGAAAAATGTGTTTATGTGATTAATATTGAATTCATAAAATAAAAATAAAGTAGAAATAATTCAAAAGCACACAAATTTAATCAAATTTGGTATGAGACGATCTTAGTGAGAGAATGTCTGAAAATGAAATATGAGATAATCGTAGTTGGATGGAGTGAGTAATTTTTTTAAATGAAAGCTTCGCCACTAATCCGCATTAGAAAACTATTGTTTGCAAATTTGCATTTGATTTATTTAAGAGAAGAGATTAGGAAAAACCGAAAAAGTGATTTGAAGGAAGGAAGTCACGGTGGTAAATAGAAGTAATTTTATTTAAAAAATAAAAGTTATAGTCTTCGGTGAAATAATTTTGATTAGTTTTTTATTCTTGTACAAAATTGCCCTATCATTAACAATACATGTATAGTTTTTTTTGTTTGAAAATCAAATAACTAATTTATTTATTAAATGATAGCAAACTAAAATACAAAAGGGTGAATAGTTTAAGATTACAATGAGATGAGACATAGAACGAAAAAGATTCAGGGGATGGCGAATAGTTGAAGCTTCAGAAGAACTAGGTTGCACCTGTCTTGTCATCCATGAATAATGAACCACTCGATCGGTTACACTGACGAGGAAGACACGGTGTTGGTCCAAAATAGGACGTTCGTAGGCTTTTAGGAAAGCTACGTACGACACTCAAACGGAAATTAGGAAAGCAAGAACAAGAATGAAAAGTAGCTAGAAGATTTAGTTGCCAGAAATAACATGTCTATTATTTGAATCGAACTTGCCTTTTATAGGCGTTTACAAATGGTAACTGCCGAATACGATAATGATCGATTAATTACAACATTAATACGGAATTAAATACATAATTAATATCGCATTGATTGTTGGCCGTTGCTCTTTCTGGTTGGCTGGCAGGTCGGCCTGGCTGGCACCAAGACAAAACGCTTGAGCTCCCCGTGCGGCAGGCATCCGTTGGGCTGGAAGGCAGGCCGTTGGCCGGGCTGGAAGGCAGACTCCTGACTGTGCTGGAAGGCAGGTCGCTGACCGAGCCGGAAGGCAAGCTCCTGGCTGGGTTGGAAGGCAGGCCGCTGGCCGGGCTGGAAGGCAGGTTCCTGGCCGGGCAGGAAGGCAGGCCGCTGTCTGGGCTGGAAGGCAGGCTGCTGGCCGGGCTGAAAGGCGGGCTCCTGACCGGGCTGGAAGGCAGGCTCCTGGTCGGGCTGGAAGGCAGGCTCCTGACCGGGCTGGAAGGCAGGCTCTCCGCTGGGCTGGACGACAGGCTCTCTTGGGCTTCCGCTCCCTGATAGGCCTGATCGGTTGGGCCGACTCGAGCTCTGGGTTGCTGGGCTTGGGCCTGCTGGTCCAAGTTCGGGGCCTGAGCCGATTAGGCTCTGGGCCTAGTCCCATAACCCCATCACGAGTCCCCCACTCCCTTAGTCGAGTAGTAGACTCGGCTAAGAGGGAGTAGTTCAAGTGAGCTGTCAATTAAATGATATTCACATGTCAGGGAGTCATAATTGTGGATTCTGTCAATCCCGCAACTTATGGAGATTTCCAAAATTTGAATAAGACACCCAGCTCTAAAAGGCTCCAAATTAATTTCCTTAGCATCCTAGCATTCCAGCGGTCAGCTTTCTCCCAAACTTCAGACTCCAGGTCAGCTTCCAAGAATTTCTGAAATTCATTATCATTGTTTCAAAAATTATTTTCGGACTTTATTTTATTATTCTTTCCTTTTCTTTCCTTTTCTTTTCTTTCCTTCTTTTTTTCTTTCCTTTTCTTTTCCTTTCTTTTCTTTTCTTTCCTTTCCCTTTCTTTCTTTTTTTCTTTCCTTTTCTCTTTCCTGGTTTCCCGCGTGCGTCTCCCATGCGTCGCCCCACCAGCGCCGCAGTAAACCCATCGAGCGGACTGACCGCCGTTTCTCTTCCAGTGGCCCCCACCGTGCTAGGCGGCTGTCCCGTGCTGTCCACCGGTGGCCTGCGTCGCCCTGGCAGTCCGACAAATCTGGCCGGCCGGTCTGAACTCCCGCTGCGTCCGGTTGGTGCATCTCGCATGGGTCGGCGGCCACCCCCTGCTGGTCAGCGTCTCCCAGAGGTTGGCGTCCCGGCGGCTGAGCGCCCCACTTGTCCCTCTCTCTGGCGTTCAGGTTGTCCGGAGAGCCGCCACCGCGTTCTTCTGCCGCATAGTTCTTATCCAACTTAGAAAAAAAGAAGATTGCGTAACGACCTTTCGTAGGAAAGACTCATCATCCCCACCATATGAGGATCTACACCAGAAAAGTAGTTGACTCCCATATAGACAGCAAGATCCGTTCGGAAGTGATCAGCAGCAAGATCAAAACTGAAAACTAATAGATAAACAAGTAGGCCCACTTAGGTTAGGGGGTATTGCCGAACCCGCTGTGCCCCATTGACTAAGAAGGGGGGCTATCATTCGCTTGGACGGGCTACTCCCCTCGCTTCGCTCGACTTGCTTCGTTTCTTTAGCAGAAGGAATAGGCTCATCAGGTCGTGGTTCGCCGGTCGCTGCCAGCCGCTGCTGCCTAGGAATCTGCCGGCCAAGCGTCCAGGTGGAGCTTAAGGTCCAGGTTGAGCGGCATCGTCTCTCTTTTGGCCGACAAAGCTGCTGGGGCATATGGTAGCCGACGTCGTGCGTTTTCTTCCTCCTTGGGTTGGCGGCCGGAAATCCATGCATACGTAGGATAGGCAGCGATGATGACCAGATCCACTTTACCGCCGGCTGCCGGCGGTGCCGGTCCTCCCCCCAGTTGGGTGATGGGTCAGGTTGGATTTTCTTTCCCCCAGGGTTCCGCGTTGTCCGGCGTTTGATGGTTGGTTGTTTTCCTTCTTTGTTTTGTCTTTGCAGGTTTGACTTCCCCTTCCGCTCCTGAATCATGCAAGGCATTGGCCGCTTTCCCCATAAAAACAGCGGTCAAGGCTCCCCTTCAGCCATGCAAGTTGACGCCGAGCCCGAGCCCCTCCCCAAGCCATCAGGTTCGGGACCACCAACCATTATAGAGGGAGAGCGTGGGGCAGCCATGAGGCCTGCGCGGGTTAGCCGTGGCGCTCGGCCACATATGCCTGCGGGGGAAGCTACTGGGCAGCAGGTTGACGTTCTCCCAGAGATGGCTCCAGCTAGGCGGACCACTACTCCTGAGGGTCGGCAACTGAGCGTTCCAGATAGAGCGCGGGCACAACATGTGGTCGTGTTAGATTCCGACGATGACTCTGGTGCTCGGGAGGACCCGAATCTTTGGTGGGGCCTTGATAATAGTGGGATAGCGAACCTCCCCCCTCGTATCCAAGACGAGGACCTTGTCGTTGCATATAGCCTGATCGGTGCCAATTGTTCATTGAAAACTCTGGAGGCTACTGAAGTACTGAGTGATCCCCGAGTCCATTACTTCGGGGTCCATATCCACTCTCTGGAGTTAGGGATGGTCGTGCCACTGCATCCCTTCCTGGTTCGGCTTCTTCACTTCCTGGGTGTAGCACCGGGTCAATTAGCTCCGGCGGCTCACATGTTTGTTGCAGTTTTTTTGGCGCGATGTGAGGGTGTGGGCCTCGCTCCCACGACTGGTTTGTGTTTTAGCTGCTTCCAACGGCGTGCTTCTAGCTTTTTCTCCTCAGTCTCCCAGAGGCCGGTGAGCAAACTGTTTCGGTCGGGTTACCCCGCCTCAGGCAAGGGGTGGAAGAAGAGATGGATTTGGGTGTCCAACCCCAACCTCATGTCACCTCCGTTTCAGTGGGGTGAGCGGGTTCGGAAGTGTGACCGTGTCTCCCTCTCCCCTGATCTCAAATCCTCCATTGAGAAAATGTCCGCAGGCGGCCCCCACTCCATCAGCTCATAT